AACGATTGTCATTGAGCATTTTGATTCTAATGATTCTACCAGGGCTTTTCATTCTGTGGAATGAATGTGTGATCGTTATAATTGTACTCTTCATTTTGCTTCGTTCGACTACAGAGTTTAAAGTATATTGTTTATATAGTTGTAATTACTTTTAAGATGTTGATTTCAAGCTTTCGTGACTGCAGGAATCCAAACTCTTTGGTTCTTTGGGTAAAGTCACCACGTGGGCAGAAAAATTCATAATAGATCTCGACGTTTCAATCGCAACGCAAGCAATCGTCATCAGGCGGAAGAAAGAAGAATTAATAACTTTTAATATTTGATAATTATGAGAGAATTTCAATATAATATTCTGGACTTATACAGTTTTAGTTAGACGATTAATATTTTCAAGTGAATTGAATGCTAAATTTCAACTTTCCAACGCCTCATTTTTAATACATGTTGTCTACTACAACATCAGAGTGCAGAGCCACGTGAAATATGCACTGCTATGTACCAGCAGGTAGCTGTGTGTAGCTGTGTGTAGCTGTAGGTACTGCTATGTACCAGCAGGTAGCTGTGTGTAGCTGTGTGTAGATGTGTGTGTAGCTGTAGGTACTGCTATGTACCAGCAGGTAGCTGTGTGTAGCTGTGTGTAGATGTGTGTAGATGTGTGTGTAGCTGTAGGTACTGCTATGTACTAGCAGGTAGCTGTGTGTAGCTGTGTGTAGCTGTGTGTGTAGCTGTAGGTTACCTGTAGGTACTGTTATGTACCAGCAGGTAGCTGTGTGTAGCTGTAGGTACTGCTATGTACCAGCAGGTAGCTGTGTGTAGCTGTGTGTGTAGCTGTAGGTTACCTGTAGGTACTGCTATGTACCAGCAGGTAGCTGTGTGTAGCTGTGTGTAGCTGTAGGTACTGCTATGTACCTGCAGGTAGCTGTGTGTAGCTCTGTGTAGCTGTAGGTACTGCAATGTACCAGCAGGTAGCTGTGTGTATCTCTGTGTAGCTGTAGGTTACCTCTAGGTACTGCTATGTACCAGCAGGTAGCTGTGTGTAGCTGTGTGTAGCTGTAGGTTACCTGTAGGTACTGCTATGTACCAGCAGGTAGCTGCGTGTAGCTGTGTGTAGCTGTAGGTTACCTGTACAGTGAGGGAAAAAAGTATTTGATCCCCTGAAGATTTTGTACGTTTGCCCACTGACAAATAAATGATCAGTCTATAATTTTAATGGTAGGTTTATTTGAACAGTGAGAGACAGAATAACAACAAAAAAATCCAGAAAAACGCATGTCAAAAATGTGATAAATTGATTTGCATTTTAATGAGGGAAATAAGTATTTGACCCCTCTGCAAAACATGACTTAGCACTTGGTGGCAAAACCCTTGTTGGCAATCACAGAGGTCAGACGTTTCTTGTAGTTGGCCACCAGGTTTGCACACATCTCAGGAGGGATTTTGTCCCACTCCTCTTTGCAGATCTTCTCCAAGTCTTTAAGGTTTCGAGGCTGACGTTTGGCAACTCGAACCTTCAGCTCCCTCCACAGATTTAACATGGGATTAAGGTCCGGAGACTGGCTAGGCCACTCCAGGACCTTAATGTGCTTCTTCTTGAGCCACTCCTTTGTTGCCTTGGCCGTGTGTTTTGGGTCATTGTCATGCTGGAATACCCATCCACGACCCATTTTCAATGCCCTGGCGGAGGGAAGGAGGTTCTCACCCAAGATTTGACGGTACATGGCCCCGTCCATCGTCCCTTTGATGCGGTGAAGTTGTCCTGTCCCCTTAGCAGAAAAACACCCCCAAAGCATAATGTTTCCACCTCCATGTTTGACGGTGGGGATGGTTTTCTTGGGGTCATAGGCAGCATTCCTCATCCTCCAAACACGGCGAGTTCAGTTGATGCCAAAGAGCTCCATTTTGGTCTCATCTGACCACAACACTTTCACCCAGTTGTCTTCTGAATCATTCAGATGTTCATTGGCAAACTTCAGACGGGCATGTATATGTGCTTTCTTGAGCAGGGGGACCTTGCAGGCGCTGCAGGATTTCAGTCCTTCACAGCGTAGTGTGTTACCAATTGTTTTCTTGGTGACTATGGTCCCAGCTGCCTTGAGATCATTGACAAGATCATCCCGTGTAGTTCTGGGCTGATTTCTCACCGTTCTCATGATCATTGCAACTCCACGAGGTGAGATCTTGCATGGAGCCCCAGGCCTAGGAAGATTGACAGTTCTTTTGTGTTTCTTCCATTTGCAAATAATCGCACCAACTGTTGTCACCTTCTCACCAAGCTGCTTGGCAATGGTCTTGTAGCCCATTCCAGCCTTGTGTAGGTCTACAATCTTGTCCCTGACATCCTTGGAGAGCTCTTTGGTCTTGGCCATGGTGGAGAGTTTGGAATCTGATTGATTGATTGCTTCTGTGGACAGGTGTCTTTTATATAGGTAACAAGCTGAGATTAGGAGCACTCCCTTTAAGAGTGTGCTCCTAATCTCAGCTCGTTACCTGTATAAAAGACACCTGGGAGCCAGAAATCTTTCTGATTGAGAGGTCAAATACTTATATCCCTCATTAAAATGCAAATCAATTTATAACATTTTTGACATGCGTTTTTCTGGATTTTTTTGTTGTTATTCTGTCTCTCACTGTTCAAATAAACCTACAATTAAAATTATAGACTGATCATTTCTTTGTCAGTGGGCAAACGTACAAAATCAGCAAGGGATCAAATACTTTTTTCCCTCACTGTAGGTACTGCTATGTTCCAGCAGGTAGCTGTGTGTAGCTGTGTGTAGCTGTGTGTAGCTGTAGGTTACCTGTCGGTACTGCTATGTACCAGCAGGTAGCTGCGTGTAGCTGTGTGTAGCTGTAGGTTACCTGTAGGTACTGCTATGTACCAGCAGGTAGCTGTGTGTGTAGCTGTGTGTGTGGCTGTGTGTAGCTGTGTGTGTAGCTGTGTGTGTGGCTGTGTGTGTAGCTGTGTGTAGCTGTGTGTAGCTGTAGGTTACCTGTAGGTACTGCTATGTACCAGCAGGTAGCTGTGTGTAGCTGTGTGTAGCTGTGTGTGTAGCTGTGTGTGTAGCTGTGTGTAGCTGTAGGTACTGCTATGTACCAGCAGGTAGCTGTGTGTGTAGCTGTGTGTAGCTGTGTGTGTAGCTGTGTGTGTGACTGTGTGTAGCTGTATGTACCTGTAGGTACTGCTATGTACCTGCAGGTAGCTGTGTGTGTAGCTGTGTGTGTAGCTGTGTGTAGCTGTGTGTGTAGCTGTGTGTAGCTGTGTGTGTAGCTGTGTGTGTGGCTGTGTGTAGCTGTGTGTAGCTGTGTGTAGCTGTGTGTGTAGCTGTGTGTGTGGCTGTGTGTAGCTGTGTGTAGCTGTGTGTGTAGCTGTGTGTGTAGCTGTGTGTAGCTGTGTGTGTAGCTGTGTGCAGCTGTGTGTGTAGCTGTGTGTAGCTGTGTGTGTAGCTGTAGGTTACCTGTAGGTACTGCTATGTACCAGCAGGTAGCTGTATGTAGCTGTGTGTAGCTGTGTGTGTGGCTGTGTGTGTAGCTGTGTGTAGCTGTGTGTGGCTGTGTGTAGCTGTGTGTGTAGCTGTGTGTGTGGCTGTGTGTAGCTGTGTGTGGCTGTGTGTAGCTGTGTGTAGCTGTGTGTGTGGCTGTGTGTAGCTGTGTGTGGCTGTGTGTAGCTGTGTGTGTAGCTGTGTGTGTAGCTGTGTGTGTGGCTGTGTGTAGCTGTGTGTGTAGCTGTGTGTAGCTGTGTGTGTAGCTGTGTGTAGCTGTGTGTGTAGCTGTGTGTGTGGCTGTGTGTAGCTGTGTGTGTAGCTGTGTGTAGCTGTGTGTAGCTGTGTGTGTAGCTGTGTGTGTAGCTGTGTGTGTAGCTGTGTGTAGCTGTGTGTGTAGCTGTGTGTGTAGCTGTGTGTGTAGCTGTGTGTGTGGCTGTGTGTGTAGCTGTGTGTAGCTGTGTGTGTAGCTGTGTGTGTAGCTGTGTGTGTGGCTGTGTGTAGCTGTGTGTGTGGCTGTGTGTGGCTGTGTGTAGCTGTGTGTGTGGCTGTGTGTAGCTGTGTGTAGCTGTGTGTGTAGCTGTGTGTGTAGCTGTGTGTGTGGCTGTGTGTGTAGCTGTGTGTGTAGCTGTGTGTGTAGCTGTGTGTGTAGCTGTGTGTGTAGCTGTGTGTGTTGCTGTGTGTGTAGCTGTGTGTGTAGCTGTGTGTGTGGCTGTGTGTGTAGCTGTGTGTAGCTGTGTGTGTGGCTGTGTGTGTAGCTGTGTGTGGCTGTGTGTAGCTGTGTGTAGCTGTGTGTGGCTGTGTGTGTAGCTGTGTGTGTAGCTGTGTGTGTAGCTGTGTGTGGCTGTGTGTGTAGCTGTGTGTGTAGCTGTGTGTGTGGCTGTGTGTAGCTGTGTGTAGCTGTGTGTGTGGCTGTGTGTGTAGCTGTGTGTAGCTGTGTGTAGCTGTGTGTGTGGCTGTGTGTGTAGCTGTGTGTAGCTGTGTGTGTGGCTGTGTGTGTAGCTGTGTGTAGCTGTGTGTGTAGCTGTGTGTAGCTGTAGGCGACCTGTATCTGGCATGAGGCTCGCCCGTGCCCTTTCCTTTAGTGGCAAGGGCGGGGGAGGGGGTGGGGGGGACTCCCCCCCCCACCCCCTCGTGTCGGTGACCTCTCGTCCCAAGGTGACTCGAGACCCCGTGAAGCCCCTCCCCTCCGTGTAGCCCCTCCCCTCCGTGTAGCCCCTCCCCTCCGTGTAGCCCCTCCCCTCCCCACCGTGTAGCCCCTCCCCCTCCCCACCGTGTAGCCCCTCCCCCCCCACCGTGTAGCCCCCCCCCCCCCACCGTGTAGCCCCCCCCCCCCCCACCGTGTGACCTCTGTGGCCCAGCAGCCCCCCACCACCCGACGGGTCTCCTTGCGTCCCCTCCCCCCTCCGTGTGTCCCCCCCGTGCCCCCCGTGCCCCCCCTGCCCCTCCCCCCTGCCCCTCCCCCCTGCCCCTCCCCCCTGCCCCCCCGTGCCCCCCCCGTGCCCCCCCCGTGCCCCCCAGGATGACCCAGGACGTCCCCGACTACCCGGGCCAGGAGCTGAGATTTTCCCTCCTTCCGGAGTTTTACATCCGGGGTGCGGCCACGACCTTCAGCCCCGTCGAGAGGTCAGAGTGTGTGTGTGTACACGTGTGTGTGTGTACACGTGTGTGTGTGTACTGTGTGTGTGTGTACACTGTGTGTGTGTACACTGTGTGTGTACACGTGTGTGTGTACACTGTGTGTGTGTACACTGTGTGTGTGTACACGTGTGTGTGTGTACACGTGTGTGTGTGTGTACACGTGTGTGTGTGTGTACACGTGTGTGTGTGTGTACACGTGTGTGTGTGTACACGTGTGTGTGTACTGTGTGTGTGTGTACACTGTGTGTACACGTGTGTGTGTGTATACACGTGTGTGTGTGTGTGTACACATGAGTGTGTACACGTGAGTGTGTGTGTACACGTGTGTGTGTGTACACGTGTGTGTGTGTACACGTGTGTGTGTACACGTGTGTGTGTGTGTACACGTGTGTGTATGTGTACACGTGTGTGTGTACACGTGTGTGTGTGTACGTGAGTGTGTGTGTACACGTGTGTGTACACGTGTGTGTGTGTGTGTACACGTGTGTGTGTATACGTGTGTGTGTGTATACGTGTGTGTGTACACGTGTGTGTGTGTACGTGAGTGTGTGTGTACACGTGTGTGTGTGTACGTGAGTGTGTGTGTACACGTGTGTGTGTGTGTGTGTACACGTGTGTGTGTACACGTGTGTGTGTACACGTGTGTGTGTGTACGTGAGTGTGTGTGTACACGTGTGTGTACACGTGTGTGTACACGTGTGTGTACACGTGTGTGTGTGTACAGGTGTGTGTGTATACGTGTGTGTGTATACGTGTGTGTGTGTACACGTGTGTGTGTGTGTACGTGAGTGTGTGTGTACACGTGTGTGTGTACGTGAGTGTGTGTGTACACCTGTGTGTGTGTGTACACGTGTGTGTGTACACGTGTGTGTGTACACGTGTGTGTGTGTACGTGAGTGTGTGTGTACACGTGTGTGTGTGTACACGTGTGTATGTGTGTACACTGAGTGTGTGTACACGTGTGTGTGTACACGTGTGTGTGTACACGTGTGTGTGTGTGTACACGTGTGTGTGTACACTGAGTGTGTGTACACGTGTGTGTGTACACGTGTGTGTGTACACGTGTGTGTGTGTACACGTGTGTGTGTGTACACGTGTGTGTGTGTGTGTACACGGCACAAGCTTATTAGTTAGATATTTTAACTTATTTTAGTCGTGGGCAAAGTCCCATCGGTGAGCTCCTCCGGCGGGCAAGGCTGCGATGGCTGGGTCATGTAGCCCGCATGCCCAGCCACCGCATGCCGAAACAGCTTTTGTTTGGCCGGATTGAGGGGGCTAAGCGGGCGCGGCACGGGCTAGAGAAGAGATGGAGTGATGTGGTACAGGAGGACGTGGAGCTGAGTGGACTTGCCGATGACTGGTACCAGCGGTGTCAAGATCGGCCTCTGTGGAGGAGGCTCTTGAAGGACGCTACTGGGCAGTTGGAGGCAGTCGCCCTCAAACAACAACGGAGGGCGGAGGAGCGACGCTCACAACAACGAGCGGAGCGCCGGGTGGCTAAAGCACAGCAGGTTGGCACAGTAGGGGGCACAGGTGGTGCATCAGCCAGTCATCTCAGTCAGTCGACCCGTGGCACCTGGGTCTGCCCCGTGACCTCCTGCCAGCGGGCGTTCGACACTTCACGTGGCCTCAGGGTGCACATGTCCTGGCACAAGCGTCGTGGTGACGTCACCGCCACTTAGTGGCGAATGGCGGTTGTTGTTGTGTGTGTGTATGTGTTTATGTGTCTGTGTGTATGTGTGTGTATGCGTGTATGTGTGTGTGTATATGTGTGTGTGTGTATGTGCGTACACGTGTGTACACACACGCGTGTGTACCCCTGTGTGAAGGGGACCCCTGTGTAGGGGATCACCCCCTGTGTGTAGGGGATCACCCCCTGTGTGTAGGGGATCACCCCCCGTGTGTAGGGGATCACCCCCTGCGTGTAGGGGATCACCCCCTGCGTGTAGGGGATCACCCCCTGTGTGTAGGGGATCACCCCCTGTGTGTAGGGGATCGCCCCCTGTGTGAAGGGGATCACCCCCTGTGTGTAGGGGATCACCCCCTGTGTGAAGGGGATCACCCCCTGTGTGTAGGGGATCACCCCCTGTGTGTAGGGTACCCCTGTGTGTAGGGTACCCCTGTGTAGGCGATCACCCTCTGTGTGTAGGGGATCACCCCCTGTGTGAAGGGGATCACCCCCTGTGTGTAGGGGATCACCCCCTGTGTGTAGGGGATCACCCCCTGTGTGTAGGGTACCCCTGTGTAGGCGATCACCCTCTGTGTGTAGGGGATCACCCCCTGTGTGAAGGGGATCACCCCCTGTGTGTAGGGGATCACCCCCTGTGTGTAGGGGATCACCCCCTGTGTGTAGGGTACCCCTGTGTGTAGGGTACCCCTGTGTAGGCGATCACCCTCTGTGTGTAGGGGATCACCCCCTGTGTGTAGGGGATCACCCCCTGTGTGTAGGGGATCACCCCCTGTGTGAAGGGGATCACCCCCTGTGTGTAGGGGATCACCCCCTGTGTGTAGGGGATCACCCCCTGTGTAAAGGGGATCACCCCCTGTGTGAAGGGGATCACCCCCTGTGTGAAGGGGATCACCCCCTGTGTGAAGGGGATCACCCCCTGTGTGAAGGGGATAACGGTGGTCGCCGTTCTCCCACAGGGACCGGCAGTGGAAATTCGTGGTTGCTCGCCTCGGCGCCTGCCCCGACTACTGAAGACGTCCGCACTTACACACACAGAGGGCACGTGCTGTAGTACACAACCTCTCTCACAGGCTGACAGGGGGCACGTGCTGTAGTACACAAAGCTCCCCCGTGTAGCCTCTCTCACAGGCTGACAGGGGGCACGTGCTGTAGTACACAAAGCTCCCCCGTGTCGCCTCTCCCACAGGCTGACAGGGGGCACGTGCTGTAGTACACAAAGCTCCCCCGTGTAGTCTCTCTCACAGGCTGACTGGGGGCACGTGCTGTAGTACACAAAGCTCCCCCGTGTAGCCTCTCTCACAGGCTGACTGGGGGCACGTGCTGTAGTACACAAAGCTCCCCCGTGTCGCCTCTCTCACAGGCTGACAGGGGGCACGTGCTGTAGTACACAAAGCTCCCCCGTGTCGCCTCTCTCACAGGCTGACAGGGGGCACGTGCTGTAGTACACAAACAAAGCTCCCCCGTGTAGCCTCTCCCACAGGCTGACAGGGGGCACGTGCTGTAGTACACAAAGCTCCCCCGTGTAGCCTCTCTCACAGGCTGACAGGGGGCACGTGCTGTAGTACACAAAGCTCCCCCGTGTAGCCTCTCCCACAGGCTGAAAGGGGGCACGTGCTGTAGTACACAAAGCTCCCCCGTGTCGCCTCTCTCACAGGCTGACAGGGGGCACGTGCTGTTAGTAGCGAGCAGCAGACTGTGGTATAGCAGGGGGTGGTGGATAGGTCAGCACCACGCACGCCCGCCCGGCCGCCTTTGTCTTCCCCATTGCTTCATATTTCACACACGGACCGCCCTCGCCACGTACTCATTTAAAGGCTGAGTCGACGTATCACCCCTACACTCACCCCTACAATCACATAGACTCACCCCTACACTCACCCCTACAATCACCCCTACACTCACCCCTACACTCACCCCTACAATCACATAGACTCACCCCTACACTCACCCCTACACTCACCTCTACACTCACCTCTACACTCACCACTACACTCACCACTACACTCACCACCACTACACTCACCTCTACACTCACCCCTACACTCACCCCTACACTCACCTCTACACTCACCCCTACACTCACCCCTACACTCACCTCTACACTCACCCCTACACTCACCTCTACACTCACCCCTACACTCACCCCTACACTCACCTCTACACTCACCCCTACACTCACCCCTACACTCACCCCTACACTCACCTAGACTCACCCCTACACTCACCCCTACACTCACCCCTACACTCACCCCTACAATCACATAGACTCACCACTACACTCACCCCTACACTCACCCCTACACTCACCCCTACACTCACCACTACACTCACCACCTCTACACTCACCTCTACACTCACCACTACACTCACCACTACACTCACCCCTACACTCACCCCTACACTCACCTCTACACTCACCCCTACACTCACCTCTACACTCACCCCTACACTCACCCCTACACTCACCCCTACACTCACCACTGCACTCACCCCTACACTAACCCCTACAATCACATAGACTCATCACTACACTCACCCCTACACTCACCCCTACACTCACCCCTACACTCACCACTACACTCACCACCTCTACACTCACCTCTACACTCACCACTACACTCACCACTACACTCACCCCTACACTCACCCCTACACTCACCTTTACACTCACCCCTACACTCACCCCTACACTCACCTCTACACTCACCCCTACACTCACCCCTACACTCACCCCTACACTCACCTCTACACTCACCCCTACACTCACCTCTACACTCACCTCTACACTCACCCCTACACTCACCCCTACACTCACCTCTACACTCACCCCTACACTCACCCCTACACTCACCCCTACACTCACCCCTACACTCACCCCTACACTCACATCTACACTCACCCCTACACTCACCCCTACACTCACCCCTACACTCACCCCTACACTCACCTCTACACTCACCCCTACACTCACCCCTACACTTACCTCCACCACTCACCACCTCTATAGAATCCGAGTCCCCCTCCACCTGCAGACGCGGAGGGTGGGGGGCATTGGGGGGGGGTGTTACCTGTCGCCGCGTTGCCGTGGTTACGTATATATAAAATTATATATAATTATATAATAATATAATCATTGTGGTCGTGGTGAATTCACCTGTACTTGTACCTGCTGTCTTACACACGAGTAACCACGCCCACTTGGGGAGTAACCCCGCCCATCCCGACAGTGACCCCCGCCCACTCGGGGAGTAACCCCGCCCATCCCGATAGTGACCCCGCCCACTCGGTGAGTGGCCCGCCCACCCTGGCAGTGCCCCCGCTCACTCAGTGCGTAGTCCCGCCCACCAAGTGCGTGGCCCCGCCCTTCCGGAGAGTGTTATAGTTATAGTTTATTTATTTGGTAGAACCCTGTGAGCCATTCGGCTCTTGAATCGGATGCAACCGCAACAAACAAAAAACATGAACAAGAAAAACATCTTAAAGTGATTATGTGACTGTGCAAACAGAAAATACAGGAAAAAAATATCAAAATATTCCTGAAATAGCACCGTACACCAACGCTGTGTGCAAAAATCCCAGTGGGATGCAAGTCAAATAACAACAACAACAACCACAAGACAACTAAGATTAAAGCCATCAGTCTAACTCCGTACTACAATCAACAAAAACATGGCCAAAACACAAAAAAAACTTTTCGAAATCACCAAAATGAAAGCCATGAATACAATGTAACAGTGATCATAGGGACTGTGACCGAATTTTTAACAATAAACTACATAAATAAATTATAACACCAAAATCTAGAGCCATATTTTAGGCCACTGAATAGCAGTGGCAGCTAGCGGTGTACAACTCCTCTAGAGCAGTTTTGAGTGAAGATCTCATAGGTAGTGATTCAAGTTGCAGTTTATTGGCAATAGCATTCCAGACCCTGGGGGCATCAATAGCAAAGGCCCTTCCTCCGGTTTTTGTACGGCAATAGGGAATGTGAAGCTGGTAAATGAGCGAAGACCTGAGGTCAAATTTGTTCTTTGAAACAGAGAGGAGATCCAGCAGGTAGTCTGCGGATATTTTTGTAAGTACATCGTGAATAAATAAGATCTGGTGCACAAGCCGTCGAACATTAAGAGATGTTAAGTTTGACCCAATGTAGAGAGTGGTCCCGCCCACCCGCATTCGCCCCAAGACGACGATTCCGCCTTCGTCTTCCTCGTGGCGATGTTTACGCACCGCACCAGGTTACTCATTTGAGGCTGAGTCGACCTAGGGGAGGCCCAGGTTCGCGGTTCAAATATTCGCCACTCTTTTTGGTCATGAGCGAGACTCAAACGCTGCGTGGCCCGGGTTCGTTGTGGCTCAATCGGAGCCTTCTTGCGAGCGCGTGGCGCCCTCTCGAGTCTGGATAGAGGAACAGGTTGAGTAGGAACACGTGGGTTAGGAACACGTTGAGTAGGAACACGTTGAGTAGGAACACGTTGAGTAGGAACACGTTGAGTAGGAACACGTTGAGTGGGAACACGTTGAGTGGGAACACGTTGAGTGGGAACACGTTGAGTAGGAACACGTTGAGTAGGAACACGTTGAGTAGGAACACGTTGAGTAGGAACACGATGAGTAGGAACACGTTGAGTAGGAACACGTTGAGTGGGAACACGTTGAGTGGGAACACGTTGAGTAGGAACACGTTGAGTGGGAACACGTTGAGTGGGAACACGTTGAGTAGGAACACGTGGGTTAGGAACACGTTGAGTGGGAACACGTTGAGTAGGAACACGTTGAGTGGGAACACGTTGAGTGGGAACACGTTGAGTAGGAACACGTTGAGTAGGAACACGTTGAGTAGGAACACGTTGAGTAGGAACACGTGGGTTAGGAACACGTTGAGTAGGAACACGTTGAGTAGAAACACGTTGAGTAGGAACACGTTGAGTAGGAACACGTTGAGTAGGAACACGTTGAGTAGGAACACGTTGAGTAGGAACACGTTGAGTAGGAACACGTTGAGTAGGAACACGTGGGTTAGGAACACGTTGAGTAGAAACACGTTGAGTAGGAACACGTTGAGTAGGAACACGTTGAGTAGGAACACGTTGAGTAGGAACACGTGGGTTAGGAACATGTTGAGTAGGAACACGTTGAGTAGAAACACGTTGAGTAGGAACACGTTGAGTAGTAACACGTTGAGTAGGAACACGTTGAGTAGTAACACGTTGAGTAGGAACACGTGGGTTAGGAACACGTTGAGTAGGAACACGTTGAGTAGGAACACGTTGAGTAGGAACACGTTGAGTAGGAACACGTTGAGTAGGAACACGTGGGTTAGGAACACGTTGAGTAGGAACACGTTGAGTAGAAACACGTTGAGTAGGAACACGTTGAGTAGGAACACGTTGAGTAGGAACACGTTGAGTAGGAACACGTTGAGTAGGAACACGTGGGTTAGGAACACGTTGAGTAGAAACACGTTGAGTAGGAACACGTTGAGTAGGAACACGTTGAGTAGGAACACGTTGAGTAGGAACACGTGGGTTAGGAACATGTTGAGTAGGAACACGTTGAGTAGAAACACGTTGAGTAGGAACACGTTGAGTAGTAACACGTTGAGTAGGAACACGTTGAGTAGTAACACGTTGAGTAGGAACACGTGGGTTAGGAACACGTTGAGTAGGAACACGTTGAGTAGGAACACGTTGAGTAGGAACACGTTGAGTAGGAACACGTTGAGTAGGAACACGTGGGTTAGGAACACGTTGAGTAGGAACACGTTGAGTAGAAACACGTTGAGTAGGAACACGTGGGTTAGGAACACGTTGAGTAGGAACACGTTGAGTAGGAACACGTTGAGTAGGAACACGTTGAGTAGAAACACGTTGAGTAGGAACACGTGGGTTAGGAACACGTTGAGTAGGAACACGTTGAGTAGGAACACGTTGAGTAGGAACACGTTGAGTAGGAACACGTTGAGTAGGAACACGTTGAGTAGGAACACGTTGATTAGGAACGTGGGTTAGGAACACGTGGGTCAGTGTCAAGGACAATGCATCTATTATCAGATAATGTTTTTTGTTTGCATTCTGACCACAAGTGTTGTGGTTGATGCAGACATGATTACTTGTAAAAGGTTTCAGTTTGGTGTTTTAACATCTCAACGCCTGTTTTGTTGCCAGAAAAAAGGTGAAAACCTCTTCTCACGTGGATTAGAGATCACGCAGGGTAGAGACATTATCACCGTAACATGAATTTCCATCCAGCAGTGGAGAGACCGTGGTGGTGGTGATTACACTGAGATACAGAGAAAAGAACACGCAGGGCAGGCATCACCACCACTTTGATCTCCATCCAGCAGTGGAGAGATAATGGTGGATTAGAGGAAACACAGAGGGTAGAGACATGATCACTATCACATTGATCTCCATCCAGCAGTGGAGAGATCTTGGTGATGGTGATTACAATGAGAGGCTGAGAGAGGAGCACGTGCAGGCGAGAGACATCGCCACCACCACCACCACCACACCCCTCCTCGTCTCACGTCTCTGCACTGGCTGAGAGTCAATTATGGAGTGAGTGTACGAGCAGAACCCGCTGGGTGATTGCTGCTGCTGCTACTGCTGGTGACCTTACAAGGCTCTCAATGGATTTGTGACCCCGCGATATCGACAAGAATTCCGGGCCGTGTTCACTCCCCAGCGAGGTCAAGGCTCTGTTAACTGGGATGGGGGCTTGTCGGTTGAGTGGGTGGGTGAGTGGGTGGGTGAGTGTGTGGGTGAGCGAGTGAGCGAGTGAGTGGGTCGGTGAGCGAGTGGGTGAGTAAGTGGGTGCCGCTGGCTAGACGTCATGGTGAAACAGGAAGCTGAATGCGTAAGTCTTCCTTGCCAGTATAGATCCTCTCCATCACCAACCCTCCTACTGTGCCTCCCTGTTGACAGCTCACGGTAACTGGCGTCTCGCGACATCAGGCCAAACCAGTAGGGGATCTCGGAGCTGCAGTGGTCCCCAGAGGCATCTCCAACTTGCCAACCACTGCCCCACTGCCTTGTGGGTAAACTTTGGCAAGGGGAGAAAGCTCCAAATCTGTGGTGGGGACCCACAGCTGCAGGTCAAGGACGCGACTGGGAACATCTAGCCAAACTCTGTACGTAAGCAGCGATGGAGTGTAAGTCGCGAGACAGAATTGGGCAACATTGTGTCTCCATGGCAGCTTCCATCGCATCTGAGCAGCCCCGCACTGCTCACCCCTGACGGGGAAGGGCCACTCACTCTGGGTGGTTAACCGCTACCACAAAAGCAATCCCCATTCAGCGGCCGAAACTCAAGTAAATCCAAAACTCGTTTACCCCTTCAAATTGCTTCACAGAACGTCCGCACTCTCTTGGACTCGCAACGAAAAAACTGACAGCGCTCACAGAAGGACCTCACAGAAGGACCTGACAGAAGGACCTGACAGAAGGACCTCACAGAAGGACCTGACAGAAGGACCTCACAGAAGGACCTGACAGAAGGACCTCACAGAAGGACCTCACAGAAGGACCTCACAGAAGGACCTGACAGAAGGACCTCACAGAAGGACCTCACAGAAGGACCTCACAGAAGGACCTCACAGAAGGACCTCACAGAAGGACCTCACAGAAGGACCTCACAGAAGGACCTGACAGAAGGACCTCACAGAAGGACCTCACAGAAAGACCTCACAGAAGGACCTCACAGAAGGACCTGACAGAAGGACCTGACAGAAGGACCTCACAGAAGGAGCTCACAGAAGGACAGCCCTCACAGAAGGACAGCCCTCATGGCCCATGAACTCAGGAAATATAACATCAGCATTGCAGCACTCAGTGGAACCTGCTCATATCGAGAAGACTCTCACAGAGGTTGGTGAGGGCTACACTTGTTTCTGGACAGGTCTTGTGGAAGATGCTCGCCGCCTCCATGGAGTGGGTTTTGCTGTGAAAGCCTCAATCCTCCAGCACGTCGCTGAATCCCTTGTTGGCATTCTTGAGCGGCTGATGACGTGGCGCATACCCTGCGTGGGTGACGCTCTGCCACGTCCATCAGTGCTGATTTGCCAACACTGGACGCAGACAATGGCACCAAGGGGGCCTTCTATAAAGCTCTCGACACTGCCATGAAGAACGCACCACAGACCGACAAACTACTCCTCATGGGAGACTTCAACGCCAAAGTTGGCTTCAAACACCAGAGCGTGTACTCGGCCGGCATGGGGTTGGTAAAGCAGAACAACATTGGGCTGCGGCTACTCTCCCTATGCTCCATACACCACTTAGCGATCACCAAAACCCATTGACAATTGATGGACAAACACACAAGACCTCGGGGCAAAACCCCTGCTCCAAACACTGACACTTCCTAGAGGACATCATCGTCCGTCAGTGTGACCAAAAGGAGATGCTAGTGACCAGAGATATATGTGGGGTTGAATGTTGGACTGATCACTATATGATCAAAGCCAAGCTCCGCATTGAGAACCGTCCACGCCATCCAAGTAAGGCCCCAAATGAGAGACTTCACTGCAATGCCCTCAAAATCAATCGGGTTACTAAAAAGTGTCACCAAGACTGGTTGGCCGAGAACGCTGCCAACATCCACACATTGCTACAGAACAAACGCCAAGCCCACATAGCCGTCCTTGCCAACCCAGGCTTCCCCACTCTCCAATCCTCCCCCTCCAAGGCCAAAGCAGAGTCCCAGTGTGCTCTCCACACCATGGAAGAGGCAGATGAGATCCAAAATCCTCACGGACGCAAACACCCGAGTGCTTTCTGATGCCACCAAAGCTAAGACCCCCGAAAGCAAGTCATCACCCCGGTGAGGCCTGCTGATGGCAACACGATTTCCGAGGACCACCAAAAGAGTGGGAGAGATGGGCAGACAATCTCCTCAAGCACACCAACCCCAGAGACATGCTCATCCTCGACACCAATTCGTCAACTTGACACCCCATCACAGTTTTCTGAGGTCCACCAAGCGGCCAAAGACCTGGAAAACAACAACAACAACAACAACAAAGTGCTGGACCCGACGTCATCCCAGCTGAGGTCCTGAAGCACGGAGGCTGCCTCCTTCTCCTCCTCCTCCTGCGCCACTTGCACCTTCTCATCAAGTCCATCTGGCTGTCCCAAACCATTGCATAGGAATGGAAGAGTGCAAATGTTGTAGTCATCTACAAGAAGAAGTGTAACAAAGCGGCTTGCGGCGGCAGCAGAGGGATCTCTCGCCTTTCAGCCGCCAGGGAGGTCCTTGCCAGGATAATCCCCTGCCAGCTCGCAGCGCAGCGATCCGTAAACATCCTCCCGGAATGGCAGTGCGGCTTCAGGAAAGGCAGATCGGCCTCTGTGGAGGAAGCTCGTGAAGGACGCTGCTGCTGGGCAGTTGGAGGCAGTCGCCCTCCAACAACGACGGAGGGCGGAGGAGCGACGCTCACGACAACGAGCGGAGCTCCGGGTGGCTAAAGCACAGGCGGGTTGGCACAGTAGGGGGCACAGGTGGTGCATCAGCCGGTCGCCTCAGTCGTCTCAGTCAGTCGACCCGTGGCGCCTGATTCTGCCTCGTGACCTCCTGCCGGTGGGCGTTGACACTTCGCGTGGCATCAACATGCACCTAGCCTGGCACAAGCGCCGTGGTGACATCACCGCCACTTAGTGGCGAATGGCCCTTGTTGTTGTTGGGTGGGTGGGTGAGAAGTGTTCATTCGTCTGTCAACGGTTTTACTTGATTCCTTTGTTTGTCTGGGTCAAATTTTGTAATCAAAATTTCGTCCCTTTCCCGTTGTCCAATCAATTCCACATTTTTCACAGCTACTCAGATCCGGTGACAATGCATGCCTGTATCAACATCGGCATCAATTCGCTACTTTAAACAAATTTACATTTTGATTGGACGCCTTATTATTTGTATATATTTGTGGAGGTAAAAAACGCCACGGCCCCCTAAACTCTGGAATCAAGAAGCGGGTGTCACGTGCCTCAGGCGAGCTACTGGCACCCTCACTCCACACACACAAAGTTGTACATCGAAGTTTCAAGTTTCACTTATTAGGTATAGCCCTGTGAGCCATGCGGCTCTTAAGTCGGGTGCAACCACAACAAACACAATTTGAACACAGAGAACATCTCAAAGCGACAACGCGTAACATAAACATTCTGGAATAAGCCAGAAAATATTCCACGCAAAAAAAACATTATTAAAATGCTGTGTGCAAAAATCAATGTGGTGCAAGCCAACAACAACAACCATAAGACAAATAATAAAGTTTTTCCCCTTTTTTCTGGCAACAAAACCGAAACCTTTTTTTACAAGGATTCATGTCTGCATTAACCACAATACCTGCAGTCAAAATGCAGACAAAAAAACATACTAAATTTTGATTTAAAGCTTTCGTGACTGCAGTAATTCATATTCTTAGTTTTTTCGGTAAAGTCACGTTGAAGGGAAACAACAAAATAATAAAATATATATATAACAATAAAAAAATTATCACGACGTTTCGACCATAACTCAAACGGTCGTCTTCAGGTGTGTTGGTTTGCATAAACTAAGAATATGAATAAACATACTATGATAATATGATGCATTGTCCTTGAAAGATTCACTTATAAAGTAATCAATTAATTAAAGTGAGCGTTGATGTGGGAGCAGGCGCCCCATCATTGACGTACTTCTCGACCGTGAGTTAATAGAAATTGTTAATAAAAGCGTTGTTTAAAAAAAAACTTGTTTTAAGGCGTTTATTTTGGATAACGACTTTCGAGCGCAGGAATCGATAAATGTTGACTCGTTTTAACAACTCTATGCCGAATCGATTCTCGCCACGTGTTCATTCACGGTCCGGGGTTCCCCCCGCCCCCCCCAACAAGCGCCCGCAATTCAGATGCCGGGCGCCGTCCCCCTCCACCCCCGCCCCTTCAAGTCACGGGCTCCCACGATTCAGGTTCCGGGGCTCCCGACACCCCATCCACTAATTCAGGCTCCGGGGCCCCCGACACCCTATCCGCTAATTCAGGTTCCGGGGCTCCCGACACCCCATCCGCTAATTCAGGCTCTGGGGCCGCCGGAAGCGGAAACTGCAAACCGGTGACCCCTGACCCGGCGCGCGGGAGACGGAGTGAGCGAGGTGAGGAGGTGGTGAGGGGAGACGGAGTGAGGAGGTGGTGAGGAGGTGGTGAGGGGAGGTGAGGAGGTGGTGAGGGGAGGCGAGGGGAGACGAAGTGAGGAGGTGGTGAGGAGAGGCGAAGTGAGGAGGTGGTGAGGGGAGGTGAGGAGGTGGTGAGGGGAGGCGGTGGTGAGGGGAGACGAGGTGAGGAGGTGGTGAGGAGGTGGTGAGGGAAGACGGAGTGAGGAGGTGGTGAGGAGGTGGTGAGGGGAGGTGAGGAGGTGGTGAGGGGAGGTGGTAAGGGGAGGCGAAGTGGGGAGGTGGTGAGGAGGTGGTGAGGGGAGGCGAGGGGAGACGAAGTGAGGAGGTGGTGAGGAGGTGGTGAGGGGAGGCGAAGTGAGGAGGTGGTGAGGGGAGGTGAGGAGGTGGTGAGGGGAGGCGGTGGTGAGGGGAGACGAGGTGAGGAGGTGGTGAGGAGAGACGAAGTGAGGAGGTGATGAGGGGAGGTGAGGGGAGACGGAGTGAGCGAGGTGAGGAGGGGAGACGAGGAGGTGGTGAGGGGAGGTGAGGGGAGGTGAGGGGAGGTGAGGGGAGGCGAGGTGAGGAGGTGGTGAGACGAGGTGAGGAGGTGGTGAGGGGAGACGGAGTGAGGAGGTGGTGAGGAGGTGGTGAGGGGAGACGAGGTGAGCGAGGTGAGGAGGGGGTGAGGGGAGGTGAGGGGAGGCGAGGTGAGGAGGTGGTGAGGGGAGACGAAGTGAGCGAGTGATCGGAATGATTGCGAGTACCTGGTGCGGCTGGCACCAGCGTGAGAAGGCAGCAGAGTGTGTGGACTAATCTCCATCTGTTACATCTCAATCACTCCTACAGCAGTGTGTGTGGACTAATCTCCATCTGTTACATCTGAATCACTCCTACAGCAGAGTGTGTGGACTAATCTCCATCTGTTACATCTCACTCCTACAGCAGAGTGTGTGGACTAATCTCCATCTGGTACATCTCACTTCTACAGCAGAGTGTGTGGACTAATCTCCATCTGTTACATCTCAATCACTCCTACAGCAGAGTGTGTGGACTAATCTCCATCTGTTACATCTCAATCACTCCTACAGCAGAGTGTGTAGACTAATCTCCATCTGTTACATCTCAATCACTCCTACAGCAGAGTGTGTGGACTAATCTCCATCTGTTACATCTCACTCCTACAGCAGAGTGTGTGGACTAATCTCCATCTGTTACATCTCAATCACTCCTACAGCAGAGTGTGTGGACTAATCTCCATCTGTTACATCTCAATCACTCCTACAGCAGAGTGTGTGGACTAATCTCCATCTGTTACATCTCAATAACTCCTACAGCAGTGTGTGTGGACTAATCTCCATCTGTTACATCTCAATCACTCCTACAGCAGAGAGTGTGGACTAATCTCCATCTGTTACATCTCAGTCACTCCTACAGCAGAGTGTGTGGACTAATCTCCATCTGTTACATCTCAATCACTCCTACAGCAGAGTGTGTGGACTAATCTCCATCTGTTACATCTCACTCCTACAGCAGAGTGTGTGGACTAATCTCCATCTGTTACATCTCACTCCTACAGCAGAGTGTGTGGACTAATCTCCATCTGTTACATCTCACTCCTACAGCAGAGTGTGTGGACTAATCTTTATCTGTTACATCTCAATCACTCCTACAGCAGTGTGTGTGGACTAATCTCCATCTGTTACATCTCACTCCTACAGCAGAGTGTGTGGACTAATCTTTATCTGTTACATCTCAATCACTCCTACAGCAGAGTGTGTGGACTAATCTCCATCTGTTCCATCTCACTCCCTGGAACACGTCCACTTCTCCACGGATTCGGCAACCGCTGTTGATGTTGTTGATTCTGATATTGGCGGTGATGTTGATACAGTTATTGTTAATATTGTTAATATTGTGGTAATGCTATTAATAATCTTAATGTTGATAATGCAGATTTTGTTATGTTGATAGTGTTGGTTATGTTGTTGATCCTGCGATTGTTTATGTTGATGATGTTGATATTACTATTGTTGATGTTTATATTTCTGTTGTTTATTTTGATATTTATATTGTTATTGATGTTGTGTTGTTCACAGGAGGGATAGGAGGAGGAGGATCAGCGAGCGATGGCGCTGGTCCAGGCTGACCCCGCTCAGCTGGTGGTTGGCGGTGGTGCGGGCGGCCCCGGGCACGTGTCCCTCAGCCTCCTCATGGACTTCCTGCTCCAGAAGACTTACCACGAGCTGCTGGTGCTAGCAGAGCTGTGAGGGGCGCTCCCAGACACACTACACACACTACACACACACACATTACACACAGACACACTACACACACTACACACAGACACACTACACACAGACACACTACACACAGACACACTACACTCACTACACACACACACATTACACACAGACACACTACACACACATTACACACAGACACATTACACACAGACACACTACACACAGACACACTACACACACACTACACACAGACACATTACACACAGACACACTACACACAGACACACCACACACTACACACAGACACACTACACACACTACACACAGACACACTACACACACTACACACACACACATTACACACAGACACACTACACACACATTACACACAGACACATTACACACAGACACACTACACACAGACACACTACACACACACTACACACAGACACATTACACACAGACACACAGACACACTACACACACTACACACTACACACAGACACACTACACACACTACACACTCTACACACAGACACACTACACACACTACACACAGACACACTACACACAGACACACTACACACAGACACACTACACACACACTACACACAGACACACTACACACACACACGCTACACACACACACTACACACAGACACACCACGAGCTGCTGCTGCTAGCAGAGCTGTGAGGGGCGCTCACACACACACTACACACAGACACACAGACACACTACACACAGACACACTACACACACACTACACACAGACACACTACACACAGACACACTACGCACAGACACACAGACACACAGACACACTACACCCAGACACACTACACACACACTACACACAGACACACTACACACAGACACTACACACAGACACATTACACACAGACACACAGACACACTACACACAGACACACTACACACACAATACACACAGACACACTACACACAGACACACTACACACACACTACACACAGACACATTACACACAGACACACAGACACACTACACACAGACACACAGACACACTACACCCAGACACACTACACACAGACACACAGACACACAGACACACTACACCCAGACACACTACACACACACTACACACAGACACACTACACACAGACACTACACACAGACACTACACACAGACACACTACACACGGACACACTGTACACAGACACACTACACACAGACACACTACACACAGACACACTACACACAGACACACTACACACAGACACACTACACACAGACACACAGACACACTACACACAGACACACTACACACAGACACACTACACACAGACACACTACACACTACACACAGACACACCACACACACAGACACACTACACACACACTACACACAGACACACTACACACACACTACACACAGACACACTACACACACACTGCACACAGACACACTACACCCAGACACACCACACACACTGTACACAGACACACTACATACACTGTACACAGACACACTACACACAGACACACTACACACAGACACACTACACACAGACACACTACACACAGACACACTACACACAGACACACTACACACAGACACACTACACACAGACACACAGACACACTACACACAGACACACTACACACAGACACACTACACACACACTACACACAGACACACTACACACACACTACACACAGACACACTACACACACACTACACACAGACACATTACACACAGACACACTACACACAGACACACTACACACACACTACACACACACACTACACACAGACACACTACACACAGACACACTGTACACAGACACACTACACACAGACACACTACACACACACACTACACACAGACACACTACACACACACACTACACACAGACACACTACACACAGCCACACTACACACAGACACACTACACACAGACACACTACACACAGACACACTACACACAGACACACTACACACACTGTACACAGACACACTACATACACTGTACACAGACACATTACACACAGACACACTACACACAGACACACTACACACGGACACACTGTACACAGACACACTACACACAGACACACTACACACAGACACACAGACACACTACACACACACACACTACACACAGACACACTACACACAGACACACTACACACAGACACACTACACACAGACACACTACACACAGACACACTACACACAGACACACAGACACACTACACACAGACACACCACGAGCTGCTGGTGCTAGCAGAGCTGTGAGTGGCGCTCACAGACACACTGTACACAGATACACTACACACACACTACACACAGACACACTACACACAGACACACTACACACAGACACACTACACACACACTACACACAGACACACTACACACACTACACACACAGACACACTACACACAGACACACTACACACAGACACACTACACACAGACACACTACACACACACTACACACAGACACACTACACACAGACACTACACACAGACACACTACACACAGACACACTACACACAGACACACTGTACACAGACACACTACACACAGACACACTACACACACACACACTACACACAGACACACTACACACAGACACACTACACACAGACACACTACACACACACTACACACAGACACACTACACACACTACACACAGACACTACACACAGACACACTACACACAGATACACTACACACAGACACACTACACACACACTACACACACACCACACTACACACAGACACACCACGAGCTGCTGGTGCTAGCAGAGCTCTGAGGGGCACTCCCAGACACACTACACACAGGCACACAGACACACTGTACACAGACACACTACACACAGACACACTGTACACAGACACACTACACACAGACACATTACACACACACTACACACAGACACACTACACACAGGCACACAGACACACTGTACACAGACACATTACACACAGACACATTACACACAGACACACTACACACACAGACACACTACACACACAGACACACTACACACAGACTCACCACACCGAGACTCGCCACACCGAGACTCACCACACCGAGACTCACCACACTGAGACTCACCACACTGAGACTCACCACACCGAGACTCACCACACTGAGACTCACCACACTGAGACTCACCACACCGAGACTCACCACACCGAGACTCACCACACCGAGACTCACCACACCGAGACTCACCACACTGAGACTCACCACACTGAGACTCACCACACTGAGACTCACCACACCGAGACTCACCACACCGAGACTCACCACACTGAGACTAACCACACTGAGACTCACCACACAGAGACTCACCGCACCGAGACTCACCGCACTGAGACTCACCACACCGAGACAACACACTGCACCACACTGTACCTCACTTGAGGCACGTCCTGGTTACTCACTGTGATGATGCTATTGCCGTTACAGACTCCCACGCAAGACCGACATGGAGAGGTGAGGGTCGTGGGTGGGTAGCTGTGTGGGTAGGTGTGTGTGAGTGTGTGTGTGGTGTAGCGGTTTAACAGCAGAGGTCTCACTCCGAATCAGTCGAGCGGCAATATCTTTTCATCGGTTGCGTAACGCTGTGTGGAAGCTACCTGGTCTGTCGCTCCGCACTAAGCTTCAGGTCTTCTCGGCCACGGTCATTCCCTCCCTTCTCTACGCTTGCAAAACGTGGACCCCCCTAATGGAACATCTTCGCCGGTTAGAAACATTTAGGCTGGCCTGCCTACGATCCATCCTGGGTTTAACCAGACTGGATTGTGTGAGGAGCTCACAAATCCTTGAAAGATCTGGGCAAGGTCCCATCGGTGAGCTCCTCCGGCAGGGAAGGCTGCGATGGCTGGGTCATGTAGCCCGCATGCCCAGCCCCCGCATGCCGAAACAGCTTTTGTTCGGCCGGATTGAGGGGGCTAAGCGGGCGCGGCACGGGCTAGAGAAGAGATGGAGTGATGTGGTACAGGAGGACGTGGAGCTGAGTGGACTTGCCGATGACCGGTACCAGCGGTGTCAAGATCGGCCTCTGTGGAGGTGGCTCGTGAAGGACGCTACTGGGCAGTTGGAGGCAGTCGCCCTCCAACAACAACGGAGGGCGGAGGAGCGACGTTCAGAACAACGAGCAGAGCACTGGGCAGATATAACACGGAATTGGCACAGTAGGAGGCACCTCCTGCTAGCAGCGAGCCTTCGACACTTTCACGTGGCCTCAAAGTGCACCTAGCCTGGCACAAGCACAATGGTGATGTCACCCCTACTTAGTGGTGAACAGCAGTTGTTGGTGAGCATGTGGTGAGTGGGGAGGAATAGGTATGTGCCGTAGTGAGGCTGTGGTGGTGGTGAGCGGTGGTGAGTCTAAGAGGGTGGGAGTCTAGGAGTGTCTCCGCGTCACTACCCGCGTGTCTCCACGTGTCTCTGTGTCTCACCATGTGTCTCACCGCTTGTCTCACCATGTGTCTCACTGCCTGTCTCACCATGTGTCTCACCGCCTGTCTCACCGCCTGTCTCACCATGTGTCTCACCGCCTGTCTCACCTTGTGTCTCACCGTGTGTCTCACCGTGTGTCTCACCGCCTGTCTCACCATGTGTCTCACCACCTGTCTCACCGCCTGTCTCACCGTGTGTCTCACCGTGTGTCTCACCGCCTGTCTCACCATGTGTCTCACCTTGTGTCTCACCGCCTGTCTCACCATGTGTCTCACCATGTGTCTCACCGCCTGTCTCACCATGTGTCTCACCGCCTGTCTCACCATGTGCCTCACCGCCTGTCTCACCATGTGTCTCACTGCCTGTCTCACCATGTGCCTCACCATGTGTCTCACCATGTGTCTCACCGCCTGTCTCACCATGTGTCTCACCGCCTGTCTCACCGCCTGTCTCACCTTGTGTCTCACCGCCTGTCTCACCTTGTGTCTCACCGTGTGTCTCACCGCGTGTCTCACCGCGTGTCTCACCGTAGTCTTCCCGTGTCTCCGCGCATGTCCCCGTGCCTCACCGCGTGTCTCCGTCTCCGCGTGTCTCCCCTGCCTCCCGCAGGAAGATGGAGATCGTGCAGTTTGCGACGCGCACGCGACAGCTGTTCGTGCGTCTCCTGGCGCTCGTCAAGTGGGCAGGGAACGCGGGCAAGGTCGACAAGTGTGCGGTGAGACCACGACCCCCCACGTGCCCTCCTCCGCATCTCCTCCCCCCCCATCCGTGCCCCAGCCGATGGCGGCTTTCCTCGAGCAAGGCCCAATCCTCCCTCTCCCCGTCTCTCCTCCCCGTCTCCTCCCCGTCTCCCTCTCCCCGTCTCTCCTCCACGCGTCTCTCCTCCCCGTCTCCCTCTCCCCGTCTCTCCTCCCCGTCTCCCTCTCCCCGTCTCTCCTCCACGCGTCTCTCCTCCCCGTCTCCCTCTCCCCGTCTCTCCTCCACGCGTCTCTCCTCCCCGTCTCCCTCTCCCCGTCTCTCCTCCCCGTCTCCCTCTCCCCGTCTCTCCTCCACGCGTCTCTCCTCCCCGTCTCCCTCTCCCCGTCTCTCCTCCACGCGTCTCTCCTCCCCGTCTCCCTCTCCCCGTCTCTCCTCCCCGTCTCCCTCTCCCCGTCTCTCCTCCACGCGTCTCTCCTCCCCGTCTCCCTCTCCCCGTCTCTCCTCCACGCGTCTCCTCCCCGTCTCCCTCTCCCCGTCTCTCCTCCCCGTCTCCCTCTCCCCGTCTCTCCTCCACGCGTCTCCCTCTCCCCGTCTCCCTCTCCGCGTCTCTCCCTCCCCCCGTGCACGTCCCAGCTGATCTCCGGCTTCCTGGAGCAAGGCACGCTGCTGTTTGTGGATTCTGCGGATCGGCTGGCGGCGCTGGCGCGCGATGCGCTCGTTCACGCGCGCCTCCCCCGCCTTCTCCATCCACTGCGCCATCGACACGCTCACCACGGGCACCTACCCACGCCTCCCCACCTGCATCCGGGTGAGGCTCGCTCATCATCGCCGCACGCTCACTGCCACCACCGCAGCGTGTATTGTATAGTGTAGTGTGCGGTACGTTGGACCTCTTTCGCACCGTACGTAGCCAGCCAGGCTAATAGACGGATTTCCATGGGCGTCTCTGAGTCTTGGGTGTCTGTGGGTCTCTGTGCATCTGTAGCGAGTCCAACTGAGCCGCGGACGTAGTCTTGGGAGCAACACGTTTTTATTACAACACAACATCACGCAACCTACACTCGGGGGGTCGAACGCCCATCTCCACCACGCTACGGCAGAACTGGGCACGGCGGTTCGCTATCCCGGTCCGGACCACGAGCTGGGCCCCGGGCCGCGTGGCCAGAGGCTTCTTCTCCCCAACGTGGATCTTCTTGACACCAGCAACACGAAGAACCCCGCGCCCCTCACGGGGCCCCCCCCCCCCCCGTTATATCCCCCCCGGGCTGGGGCCGGCTCCGTCCTTCGTCCCCGCCCCCCTTCCGCATCCCTCCGGCTCTTTCCCGAAGGACTCCCGAGAGCTCCTTTAGACCACGTGACCGCCCAGCGGCCCCCCCCCGTCCACCGGTTGGCCCCCCTCCAATATCGTCCGGCCACGTGTCGGCAGGTCAAGCGGCGCGTCGTGCCCCAACGTAACCCTGGCTGGCCGACGCTCTCTCTCGCTCAGCCAAGCCCCGCTAGGGCCGGTGGTACTACGCCCAGTGAGCGGGCTGCACTTTAAAGTCAACGCGTTCACCGCCGTGACCTCGTAAGCCCGGCACCACACAGTGACAATCGCAGTCGCCACATCTGTATCTTGGACTTATTCCGCATCGCACATAGCCAACGGTGCTCATTGTGGAGCGTTGCAGCACGCTAACTGCGCCAACGCTTCCCAACATAGACACTGAAACTCACCAACTACACGCTCGCCATCGCACACTCGCCACGCACACACAGCCCTTAGACACGTACACACACACACACACACTCTCACTACACCCTCACCACACCATCACCATACACACTCTCCCTTGTGATCGCATTGTTGTTGAGTTGTTGTTATTGTGGCTTGCCGGGTGTTAGGATAAGATCATCCCGCCGGACCCGATCACCCGAGCGGAGAAGTTGTCAACTCTGGTGCACCTCAACCACATCCTGCAGCACCGACTCATCAGCACTCACCTGCCTCCACGCCTTGCCTCACTCACCGTGGGTCAGTTACTCACCCACCCACCAACCCACTCACTCACCCACTCATCTAGTCACACACCAACTTACCCACCCTCTCAATCACCCATCCACCCACCCACCCTCTCACTCACTCACCCACTCACTCACTCACTCACCCACTCATCTCGTCACCCATCCACATACCCACCCTCTCACTCACCCACTCACTCACCCACTCACTCACCCACCCACACACCCACCCTCTCACTCACTCACCCTCTCACTCACTCACCCACCCACTCACCCACCCACTCACCCACCCACTTACTCACCCACTTACTCACCCACTCACTCACCCACTCACTCACCCACTCACTCACCCACTCACCCACTCACTCACCCACCCACTCACCCATGTCTCGACTTATATCACCCTTGTCTCCCCTTGTCTCAACCGTGTCCCCATGTGGCTCACCCCCCGTGTTTCCGCATATCCCCACATGCCCCCCCCCGTGTCCCCCTTGTCCCTCCCATGTCCCACTCGTGTCTCACCCGTGTCCCCCTCATGTCCACCCCCGTGTCCACCCCCGTCTCACCGGTGTCCCCCTCATGTCCACCCCCGTGTCCACCCCGTATCCCAGAGCGGGGCCGGGTGAGGCTGTGCGTGGACGGTGAGTTTGAGGCGGTCCTGACCGTCATGGGGGACGATCCGGACATCCCCTGGAGACTCCTCAAGCTGCGCATCCTGGTGCAGGACAGAGACACGGGTGGTGAGTGTAGGCTCACCAACACCACCACGCTCACCAATACCACCACCGACACGCTCACCAACACCACCACGCTCACCGCCACATGCTCACCACCGTCACGACCACACGCTCACCACCGTCACCACCACACGCTCACCACCACGACCACACGCTCACCAACACCACCACGCTCACCGCCACAGCACGCTCACCGCCACATGCTCACCACTGTCACCACCACACGCTCACCACCACGACCACACGCTCACCACTACCACACGCTCACCACCACGACCACACGCTCACCACCACGACCACACGCTCACCACTACCACACGCTCACCACTACCACACGCTCACCAACACCACCACCAACACGCTCACCAACACCACCACGCTCACCGCCACATGCTCACCACCACGACCACACGCTCACCACCACGACCACACACTCACCACCACGACCACACGCTCACCACCACGACCACACGCTCACGACCACACGCTCACCACCACGACCACATGCTCACCACCACGACCACACGCTCACCATTACCACACGCTCACTGTCACCACCATACGTTGCATGTTCATCACATGTGCGTGTGTGGTTAATGAGACTCGATCCTTTGCAAAAGGTGTTTGAACGTCTTAACACAACTGTTTTATTATTGCCCAAAGGGTAAACACCTATTAAACACCTATTAAACGCCTATTAAACACTTATTAAACACCTATTAAACGCCTATTAAACGCCTATTAAACGCCTACTAAACGCCTATTAAACGCCTATTAAACACCTATTAAACGCCTATTAAACACTTATTAAACACCTATTAAACGCCTATTAAACGCCTATTAAACGCCTATTAAACGCCTATTAAACACTTATTAAACACCTATTAAACACTTATTAAACAATTATTAAAGACCTATTAAACACTTATTAAAGACCTATTAAACGCCTATTAAACGCCTATTAAACGCCTATTAAACACCTATTAAACATCTATTAAAAGCCTATTAAACGCCTATTAAACACCTATTAAACGTCTATTAAACACCTATTAAACGCCTATTAAACGCCTATTAAACACTTATTAAACACATATTAAACACCTATTCTTTTTTTTATTTTAACACCTCCTGTATTCTGGCCGGAAAGAATAAATCCTATTTTGTTTTTCATCATCTTGATATTGGCTTCTAGGGTGTCAATGGCTGGGGAGGCACGTGCGAGTGTCAGAGCCAGATTCACACACTGAGGTGGGGGAGGCGTGGCCTCATGGAGGGGGCGTGGCCTCACGGAGGGGGCGTGGCCTCATGGAGGGGTGTGGCCTTACGGAGGGGCGTGGCCTCATGGCGGGGCGTGGCGTCACTGAGGGGGGCGTGTCTGACATAAATATCTTTACTCTGGTTTTTTTCGGTAGAGTCACGTATGTAGAAATACAATAAAATTATATTAAAACAATCACGACGTTTCGATCGCAACACAAGCGATCTTCATCAGGTGTCAAGAACAAATCAGGGAGGTAAATACAACAAGAAGAGAATTCAACAAACCTAAGAAACGTTATGTGAAGCACATCCAGTCAGGCCAACAACACAGTTAGACACTTCCTGGCGGACCACGAATTTCAGAAGTGTTAAATTTCAATATAATTTTATTGTATTTCTACATACGTGACTTTACCGAAAAAAAACCAATGAGTAATTTTGTGCATTCACGAAAGCTTTAATACTTTATAAATATCTTTATACACAAACGTCAAATAAGTTACCTGGAGTATGTAAGGCGAGGAGATGTAATGAAGGGGTCTACAAACATCACGTTGGTGACACAGAGAGACAGTAACAGGCACGCTCTTATTGCCCGCGCTCCATCCAGTTTCTGAGGGGTTGCGCAATCAGAGGGGAGGCTGAGCCTCTCGCTGCCTCACCCCCCTCGTCCCTTCCGCTATTTGCAGCGGAGCGCCGCAAATTTGCCGATTTTGACTCTAAAAATGATTGGAATCGTAGAGAAATTTACAACACGGATCAGTGGAAAAATCTTGATACTGATTTTATTTGATTCTTTATTTTTTACTTTTCGTAACGGCAATTTTCATTGGAGTTAGTCAGGCGATTCTCTGCCTCTCCTGACCGCACGTCCCTGATGGATTCGCCTGCTCCACCCTCCCTCCGGGTTATTGTGTCTAGTGGTGTTTGAACATCTTTTAACGGCAGAATCTACACACTACATACATACAACTTAAACAATGAAACTACTACACATATAGAAACCCTCTTAAGGACCACCCCTGTTAACGACTAATTGATTTTTATTTAAAGCTTTCGTGACTGCAGTAATTCATATTCTTAGCTCTTTCGGTAAAGTCACGTTGAAGGGAAACAATAAAATAATAACATATATATAAAACAATAAAAAACCAACACACCTGATGACGACCGTTTGTGTTATGGTCGAAACGTCGTGAGAATTTTTTATTGTTTTATATATATTATATTATTTTGTTGTTTCCCTTCAACGTGACTTTACCGAAAGAGCTAAGAATATGACTAATTGATTAATGATGTGCCTCCGTAAAGCCCAATGTGTAGTTTATAGTGTAGTGTATAGTAGTGTATAGTAGGGTAGTGTAGAGTGTAGTGTCTAGGGTAGTGTAGAGTGTAGTGTCTAGGGTAGTGTAGTGTATAGGGTAGTGTATAGGGTAGTGTCTAGGGTAGTGTAGAGTGTAGTGTATAGGGTAGTGTACAGTGTAGTGTAGAGTGTAGTGTCTAGGGTAGTGTAGTGTATAGGGTAGTGTCTAGGGTAGTGTAGAGTGTAGTGTATAGGGTAGTGTAGAGTGTAGTGTAGAGTGTAGTGTATAAGGTAGTGTCTAGGGTAGTGTAGAGTGTAGAGTGTAGTGTATAAGGTAGTGTATAGGGTAGTGTAGAGTGTAGTGTATATGGTAGTGTAGAGTGTAGTTTATATGGTAGTGTGTAGTGTATAGGATAGTGTAGAGTGTAGTGTATAGGGTAGTGTATAGGGTAGTGTAGAGTAGAACCCCTCTTACCGAGCACCCCTATTAACAACTAATCGCTTAACGGTGTGCCTCCATAGAGGCCAATGTCTTCGCTTACTGACTATTCCCCTGCTAACGATGGGCTGTTGTAAGTACTGTACATCTTAATTAATGCATTGCTTAACCATGATATTATGTGTTTACAATGTTAGTATCTTTATGTATTCATATCCATTGCTTAGATATTAAAAAGTTTGTGTTTTGGGTGAAAAAGGGGTAACGTTTGCTGCTACGAGTCTGCTGAAGGCTCCCCGTGTGTGTGTGTGTGCATGCGCGCGTGTGTGCGTGTGTGTGCGTGGGTGTGTGTGTGTGCGTGCGCGCGTGTGTGTGTGTGTGCGTGCGCGCGTGTGTGCGTGTGTGTGCGTGGGTGTGTGTGCCTGGGTGTGTGTGTGTGCATGCGCGCGTGTGTGCGTGTGTGTGTGCGCGTGTGTGTGCGTGGGTGTGTGTGGGTGTGCCTGGGTGTGCGTGCGTGCGTGCGTGCGCGCGTGTGTGTGTGTGTGCGTGGGTGTGTGGGTGTGCCTGGGTGTGCGTGTGTGTGCGTGCATGTGTGCGTGTGTGGGTGTGTGTGGGTGTGCGTGGGTGTGCATGTGTGTGCGTGTGTGCGTGTGTGCGTGCGCGCGTGCGTGTGCGTGTGTGTGCGTGGGTGTGTGTGCCTTGTCGTCTCCGTGCAGACGGTCGTGCGCTGGTGCACGCGGTCCAGGTGGACTTTCTGCACCAGCTGGTGCAGAGCCGCCTCTTCTGTGACGAGCGCCCTCTGCAGGACATGTACAGCTGCCTGCGTATCCTCTCCCCACTGCTGCTGCTGCTGCCCCTCCTGCTGCCGCCGCTTCACCCGGACCGAATATCGGTGCGAGGAGCTGATGACAGCTCCTCGCAAGATCTGGGTAACGGCTCATAGCAAAAGTATTTTTAGTTTACCACGCAAGGCCCACTGAGCTATGTAGCTGTTTTTTTTCGCAGGAGCGACCTGGCCATCTCTAATGATCGCTCAACAAAGCGGCTTATTATCACGAGGAAATTTTAGTAGCCAAAGAACTCTAAAATGCATAACGTCAAATCTCAAAGTGGAGGGAAAAACCGGAGGACTCGGAGAATAATCCACGCAGTGACCACCATACCAGGCGAGGTAGTTAACATCTCATAGCCACTGTGATGATGAGAGAGAGAGGGACGTGGACTCTATACAGCGTCAAGCGTTAAGATCCGGGGTCGAACCCACGACCTCCTGCATACCCCCCTTGTGCCTTCCTTGACTCGTCCCCTACCCCCAGACTCGTTCTGCCTCTCACTGCAGCTGGAGGTACTTCACTCGCAGGCTCGGTCGCTGATCCGCGAGCGCTGGGGCGAGCTGGTGCTGGTGGAGCACTACTTACCAGGACATAGCCTCACGCTGTTAGTGTGGAAGTGAGTGTGGTGAGGGAGACAGCTGGTGCTGGTGAGCACTACTCACCAGGACACAGCCTCACGCTGTTAGTGTGGAAGTGAGTGTGGTGAGGGAGACAGCTGGTGCTGGTGAGCACTACTCACCAGGACACAGCCTCACGCTGTTAGTGTGGAAGTGAGTGTGGTGTGGGAGACAGCTGGTGTTGGTAGAGCACTACTCACCAGGACATAGCCTCATGCTGTTAGTGTGGAAGTGAGTGTGGTGAGGGAGAGAGCTGGTGCTGGTGGAGCACTACTCACCAGGACATAGCCTCACGCTGTTAGTGTGGAAGTGAGTGTGGTGAGGGAGACAGCTGGTGCTGGTGAGCACTACTCACGAGGACACAGCCTCACGCTGTTAGTGTGGAAGTGAGTGTGGTGTGGGAGACAGCTGGTGTTGGTAGAGCACTACTCACCAGGACATAGCCTCATGCTGTTAGTGTGGAAGTGAGTGTGGTGAGGGAGACAGCTGGTGCTGGTGGAGCACTACTCACCAGGACACAGCCTCACGCTGTTAGTGTGGAAGTGAGTGTGGTGAGGGAGACAGCTGGTGCTGGTGAGCACTACTCACCAGGACACAGCCTCACGCTGTTAGTGTGGAAGTGAGTGTGGTGAGGGAGAGAGCTGGTGGTGGTGAGCACTACTCACCAGGACATAGCCTCACGCTGTTAGTGTGGAAGTGAGTGTGGTGAGGGAGAGAGCTGGTGCTGGTGGAGCACTACTCACCAGGACACAGCCTCACGCTGTTAGTGTGGAAGTGAGTGTGGTGAGGGAGAGAGCTGGTGTTGGTGAGCACTACTCACCAGGACATAGCCTCACGCTGTTAGTGTGGAAGTGAGTGTGGTGAGGGAGACAGCTGGTGCTGGTGAGCACTACTCACCAGGACACAGCCTCACGCTGTTAGTGTGGAAGTGAGTGTGGTGAGGGAGACAGCTGGTGCTGGTGAGCACTACTCACCAGGACATAGCCTCACGCTGTTAGTGTGGAAGTGAGTGTGGTGAGGGAGACAGCTGGTGTTGGTGAGCACTACTCACCAGGACATAGCCTCACGCTGTTAGTGTGGAAGTGAGTGTGGTGAGGGAGACAGCTGGTGCTGGTGAGCACTACTCACCAGGACATAGCCTCACGCTGTTAGTGTGGAAGTGAGTGTGGTGAGGGAGACAGCTGGTGTTGGTGAGCACTACTCACCAGGACATAGCCTCACGCTGTTAGTGTGGAAGTGAGTGTGGTGAGGGAGACAGCTGGTGTTGGTGAGCACTACTCACCAGGACATAGCCTCACGCTGTTAGTGTTGTGAGGGAGAGAGCTGGTGCTGGTGGAGCACTACTCACCAGGACATAGCCTCATGCTGTTAGTGTTGTGAGGGAGAGAGCTGGTGTTGGTGAGCACTACTCACCAGGACATAGCCTCACGCTGTTAGTGTTGTGAGGGAGAGAGCTGGTGTTGGTGAGCACTACTCACCAGGACATTGCCTCACGCTGTTAGTGTGGAAGTGAGTGTGGTGAGGGAGACAGCTGGTGTTGGTGGAGCACTACTCACCAGGACACAGCCTCACACTGCTAGTGTGGAAGTGAGTGTGGTGTAGGAGACAGCTGGTGTTGGTGGAGCACTACTCACCAGGACACAGCCTCACGCTGTTAGTGTGGAAGTGAGTGTGGTGAGGGAGACAGCTGGTGGTGGTGAGCACTACTCACCAGGACATAGCCTCACGCTCTTAGTGTGGAAGTGAGTGTTGTGAGGGAGACAGCTGGTGGTGGTGAGCACTACTCACCAGGACATAGCCTCACGCTGTTAGTGTGGAAGTGAGTGTGGTGTGGGAGACAGCTGGTGTTGGTAGAGCACTACTCACCAGGACATAGCCTCACGCTGTTAGTGTGGAAGTGAGTGTGGTGAGGGAGACAGCTGGTGGTGGTGAGCACTACTCACCAGGACATAGCCTCACGCTGTTAGTGTGGAAGTGAGTGTGGTGAGGGAGAGAGCTGGTGCTGGTGAGCACTACTCACCAGGACATAGCCTCACGCTGTTAGTGTGGTGAGGGAGACAGCTGTTGCTGGTGAGCACTGTTCACCAGGACACAGCCTCACGCTGTTAGTGTGGTGGTGAGTAGCGGATGGGGGGAGCGGTGGTGCAGCGGTTAGCGCTGCGCTTGCGCTGGGAGCCCGGCAGAGAACCCGAGTTGGATTCTCGCTCACGACGACCACCACCAACACCGGTGACTTATCTGAACCCGATTTTGGGCCTCCCCTAGGTCGACTCGGCCTTTAAATTGGCGCGTAGTGGCAGTGTGCGTAGTAAACGTAGCAGCAGTGGGGAGACAAAGGTGGCCGGGCGTGGTGCTGGCCACCCACCCCTTCGTGAGCCACAGTGCCGGTGGCCTTCACAGGTGCTGCTACTCGCTACTAACAACACTTGCCACCGACAGCCTGTGTGAGGCTACACGGCGGATCTTCATGGGTGTTTGGGCTCCCTCTAGGTGGACTCGGCCCATAATCACGCGTCCGTGCGTCTGCCCATGCGATCATGCAGTCAACAGATCCTGGCCCGCCGTTCTGGCTCCGCCCCCGTGTACAAGGTGCTGGTGCAGATCGACCAATCGGACGCCTCCAAGCCCCTGCAGGTGTCACATGACCCCCCACTGCCGCCTATCGACAACCACCTGGTTCAGAGGGCGATGCAGGTGAAGGGCGGCACTGCACAGCGAGAGTATACGGACAGTACACTCAGAGTACATGGAGAGAGTACACACAGAGTACACGCAGAGTACACGCAGAGTACACTCAGAGTACACACAGAGTACATGGAGAGAGTACACGCAGAGTACACTCAGAGTACACACAGAGTACACACAGTACACTCAGAGTACGTGGAGAGAGTACACTCAGAGTACACACAGATTACACTCACAGTACACACAGTACACTCAGAGTACGTGGAGAGAGTACACACAGAGTACACACAGAGTACACTCAGAGTACACTCAGAGTACACGCAGAGTACGTGGAGAGAGTACACGCAGCACACACAGTACATGCAGAGTACACACAGAGTACACGCAGAGTACACTCAGAGTACACACAGAGTACACTCAGAGTACGTGGAGAGAGTACACGCAGAGTACACACAGTACACGCAGAGTACACGCAGAGTACGTGGAGAGAGTACACACAGAGTACACACAGTACATGGAGAGAGTACACTCAGAGTACACTCAGAGTACGTGGAGAGAGTACACTCAGAGTACACACAGTACACGCAGAGTACGTGGAGAGAGTACACGCAGAGTACACACAGAGTACACACAGAGTACACTCAGAGTACACACAGAGTACGTGGAGAGAGTACACACAGAGTACACTCACAGTACATGGAGAGAGTACACTCAGAGTACACTCAGAGTACGTGGAGAGAGTACACACAGAGTACACTCAGAGTACACTCAGAGTACACACAGAGTACACTCAGAGTACACACAGAGTACACTCAGAGTACACTCACAGTACACGCAGAGTACATGGAGAGAGTACACACAGAGTACACTCAGAGTACGTGGAGAGAGTACACTCAGAGTACGTGGAGAGAGTACACTCACAGTACACACAGTACACGCAGAGTACATGGAGAGAGTACACTCACAGTACATGGAGAGAGTACACACAGAGTACACACAGTACACGCAGAGTACGTGGAGAGAGTACACACAGAGTACACTCACAGTACATGGAGAGAGTACACACAGAGTACACACAGTACACGCAGAGTACGTGGAGAGAGTACACTCAGATTACACACAGTACACGCAGAGTACACACAGTACACACAGTACACGCAGAGTACATGGAGAGAGTACACACAGAGTACACACAGAGTACGTGGAGAGAGTACACACAGATTACACACAGAGTACACACAGTACACGCAGAGTACGTGGAGAGAGTACACTCAGAGTACACGCAGAGTACACACAGTACACGCAGAGTACGTGGAGAGAGTACACACAGAGTACACGCAGAGTACGTGGAGAGAGTACACGCAGATTACACTCACAGTACACTCAGAGTACACACAGAGTACACGCAGAGTACGTGGAGAGAGTACACACAGCACACACAGTACACGCAGAGTACACACAGAGTACACGCAGAGTACGTGGAGAGAGTACACACAGAGTACACACAGAGTACACACAGAGTACACGCAGAGTACGTGGAGAGAGTACACACAGAGTACACTCAGAGTACACTCACAGTACACTCAGAGTACGTGGAGAGAGTACACACAGAGTACACACAGAGTACACACAGAGTACACGCAGAGTACGTGGAGAGAGTACACGCAGATTACACTCACAGTACACTCAGAGTACACACAGAGTACACGCAGAGTACGTGGAGAGAGTACACACAGCACACACAGTACACGCAGAGTACACACAGAGTACACGCAGAGTACGTGGAGAGAGTACACACAGAGTACACACAGAGTACACACAGTACACGCAGAGTACACACAGAGTACACGCAGAGTACGTGGAGAGAGTACACACAGAGTACACTCAGAGTACACTCACAGTACACTCAGAGTACGTGGAGAGAGTACACACAGAGTACACACAGAGTACACGCAGAGTACACACAGAGTACATGGAGAGAGTACACACAGATTACACTCACAGTACACACAGAGTACACTGACAGTACACACAGAGTACACTCAGATTACACTCGGTACACGCAGAGTACGTGGAGAGAGTACACACAGATTACACTCACAGTACACACAGTACACGCAGAGTACGTGGAGAGAGTACACTCAGAGTACACACACAGTACACTCAGAGTACACACAGTACACGCAGAGTACGTGGAGAGAGCACACACAGAGTACACTCACAGTACACGCAGAGTACATGGAGAGAGTACACACAGAGTACACTCACAGTACACGCAGAGTACGTGGAGAGAGTACACACGGAGTACACTCACAGTACACGCAGAGTACACACAGTACACGCAGAGTACGTGGAGAGAGTACACGCAGAGTACACTCACAGTACACGCAGAGTACATGGAGAGAGTACACACAGAGTACACGCAGAGTACGTGGAGAGAGTACACACAGAGTACACACAGTACACGCAGAGTATGTGGAGAGAGTACACTCAGAGTATGTGGAGAGAGTACACTCAGAGTATGTGGAGAGAGTACACTCAGAGTATGTGGAGAGAGTACACTCAGAGTATGTGGAGAGAGTACACTCAGAGTATGTGGAGAGAGTACACTCAGAGTACACTCACAGTACACGCAGAGTACATGGAGAGAGTACACACAGAGTACACACAGTACACGCAGAGTACGTGGAGAGAGTACACACAGCACACACAGTACACGCAGAGTACACACAGAGTACACGCAGAGTACGTGGAGAGAGTACACACAGAGTACACACAGAGTACACACAGTACACGCAGAGTACACACAGAGTACACGCAGAGTACGTGGAGAGAGTACACACAGAGTACACTCAGAGTACACTCACAGTACACGCAGAGTACGTGGAGAGAGTACACACAGAGTACACACAGAGTACACACAGAGTACACGCAGAGTACATGGAGAGAGTACACTCAGAGTACACACAGTACACGCAGAGTACGTGGAGAGAGTACACGCAGAGTACGTGGAGAGAGTACACACAGAGTGCACTCACAGTACACTCACAGTACACGCAGAGTACACACAGTACACGCAGAGTACATGGAGAGAGCACACACAGATTACACACAGAGTACACACAGAGTACGTGGAGAGAGTACACGCAGAGTACACTCAGAGTACACGCAGAGTACATGGAGAGAGTACACACAGAGTACACTCACAGTACACGCAGAGTACACACAGTACACGCAGAGTACACACAGTACACGCAGAGTACGTGGAGAGAGCACACTCAGATTACACTCAGAGTACACGCAGAGTACGTGGAGAGAGTACACGCAGAGTACACACAGTACACTCAGAGTACACTCAGAGTACACGCAGAGTACGTGGAGAGAGTACACGCAGAGTACACACAGTACACTCAGAGTACACTCAGAGTACACGCAGAGTACGTGGAGAGAGTACACACAGAGTACATGGAGAGAGTACACACAGAGTACGTGGAGAGAGTACACACAGAGTACACTCACAGTACACACAGAGTACACTCACAGTACACGCAGAGTACACGCAGAGTACATGGAGAGAGTACACGCAGAGTACATGGAGAGAGTACACACAGATTACACTCAGAGTACATGGAGAGAGTACACGCAGAGTACACACAGAGTACATGGAGAGAGTACACACAGTACATGGAGAGAGTACACGCAGAGTACACTCAGAGTACACGCAGAGTACATGGAGAGAGTACACACAGTACACGCAGAGTACGTGGAGAGAGTACACGCAGAGTACGTGGAGAGAGTACACACAGAGTACACTCACAGTACACGCAGAGTACACACAGTACACGCAGAGTACACACAGTACACGCAGAGTACGTGGAGAGAGCACACTCAGATTACACTCAGAGTACACGCAGAGTACGTGGAGAGAGTACACGCAGAGTACGTGGAGAGAGTACACGCAGAGTACACACAGTACACTCAGAGTACACTCAGAGTACACGCAGAGTACGTGGAGAGAGTACACGCAGAGTACACACAGTACACTCAGAGTACACTCAGAGTACACGCAGAGTATGTGGAGAGAGTACACACAGAGTACATGGAGAGAGTACACACAGAGTACGTGGAGAGAGTACACACAGAGTACACTCACAGTACACTCACAGTACACGCAGAGTACACGCAGAGTACATGGAGAGAGTACACGCAGAGTACATGGAGAGAGTACACACAGATTACACTCAGAGTACATGGAGAGAGTACACATAGAGTACACTCACAGTACACGCAGAGTACACTCACAGTACACGCAGAGTACATGGAGAGAGTACACACAGAGTACACGCAGAGTACATGGAGAGAGTACACGCAGAGTACACACAGAGTACATGGAGAGAGTACACACAGAGTACATGGAGAGAGTACACGCAGAGTACACTCAGAGTACACGCAGAGTACATGGAGAGAGTACACACAGTACACACAGAGTACACGCAGAGTACATGGAGAGAGTACACACAGAGTACACTCAGAGTACACGCAGAGTACATGGAGAGAGTACACACACAGTACACACAGAGTACACGCAGAGTACATGGAGAGAGTACACACAGAGTACACTCAGAGTACACGCAGAGTACATGGAGAGAGTACACACAGAGTACACGCAGAGTACATGGAGAGAGTACACACAGAGTACACGCAGAGTACACACAGAGTACATGGAGAGAGTACACACAGAGTACACACAGAGTACATGGAGAGAGTACACACAGAGTACACGCAGAGTACACACAGAGTACACGCAGAGTACACACAGAGTACATGGAGAGAGTACACACAGAGTACACACAGAGTACATGGAGAGAGTACACACAGAGTACACACAGAGTACATGGAGAGAGTACACACAGAGTACATGGAGAGTACATGGAGAGAGTACACACAGAGTACACGCAGAGTACATGGAGAGAGTACACACAGCACACACAGAGTACACACAGAGTACCCGCAGCACACGCAGAGTACATGGAGAGAGTACACACAGAGTACATGGAGAGAGTACACACAGAGTACATGGAGAGAGTACACACAGAGTACATGGAGAGAGTACACACAGAGTACATGGAGAGAGTACACGCAGCACACACAGAGTACATGGAGAGAGTACATGCAGCACACACAGTACACACAGAGTACATGGAGAGAGTACACGCAGTACACGCAGAGTACACACAGAGTACATGGAGAGAGTACACTTTTTTTGCTGATTGGCCGTGTCGGGTGGTGGAGGGTTACGACACCATTTATAAATAAACGCGATCTAACCCAAAAACCTTTATTATGAATAATATTGGTCGGGAAAGCCTGCTACGTTGTTAAACTGACGGGAGATCTTTGTCTGTGTACTGCTGCTGCTGCGGTGGTGGTGGTGGTGGTGCTGCTCAGATTGGCCACCTGTCTCTGGAGAAGCTGCTGATTGACAGCGTCCACGCTCGCGCTCACCAGAAGCTGCAAGAGCTGAAGACCCTGCTCAGGGCACACAACCCCAACGAGAACTGTGAGTGGTGGATGCGCGCTGGGGCGGGAGGGCACAGGGGGGTGGTGGTGTGTTGTGGGGGAGGCTGCTACAGAGCCACTCGGTGGGGCCTCACACCTGGTGAAGTAAGTAAATAAATAAATAAATGGTGCCTAGTTTTGATCCACAACCTTGTGTCCCCTACTGCGGTTTAACCTCCCCGGCGCTCGGTCCGTTGTTGTGAGCGTCGCTTATCGAACCCTGCCCCCCTCCTCCCCCTCCTCCTCCTCCCTCTCCCTCCTCCACCCCCTCCTCCTCGCCCTCCTCATTACCCCTTGGCCTCCACCGCTCCCCCTTCTCCACCTCCTCCTCCCCCTTTTTCCCCTCCTCTCCCTCCTCTTCCTCTCCCTCCTCCTCCTCCTCCCTCTCCCTCCTCCCCTCCTCCTCCTCCCTCTCCCTCCTCCACCTCCTCCTCCTCTTCCTCGCCCTCCTCCTCCACCCCCTCCTCCTCTCCCTCCTCCTCCACCCCCTCCTCCTCTCCCTCCTCCTCGCCCTCCTCCTCCACCCCCTCCTCCTCGCCCTCCTCCACCTCCTCCTCCCTCCTCCTCCACCCCCTCCCCCTCGCCCTCCTCATTACCCCTCGGCCTCCACCGCTCCCCCTTCTCACCCTCCTCCTTCCCCTCCTCCTCCTCCCCCCCATCTCCTCCTCACCCTCCTCCTCCCCCCCTTCGTCTTCCTCTCCCTCTTCCCCCTCTTCCCCCTCCTCCTCCTCCCCCTCCTCCTCCATCTCTCCCTCTTGCTCCACCTCCTATCCCCTCCTCACCCTTCTCTCTCTCCTCCTCCCCCTCCTCCTTCCCCTCCTCCTCCTCCCCCCATCTCCTCCTCACCCTCCTCTCCCCCCCCTTCGTCTTCCTCTCCCTCCTCCTCCTCCCCCTCCTCCTCCATCTCTCCCTCTTGCTCCACCTCCTATCCCCTCCTCACCCTTCTCTCTCTCCTCCTCCCCCTCCTCCTTCCCCTCCTCCTCCTCCCCCCATCTCCTCCTCACCCTCCTCTCCCCCCCCCTTCGTCTTCCTCTCCCTCCTCCTCCTCCCCCCTCCTCCTCCATCTCTCCCTCTTGCTCCACCTCCTATCCCCTCCTCACCCTTCTCTCTCTCCTCCTCCCCCTCCTCCTCCCCTGTCCCCCCTCTGCTGTGTGTGTGCCAGCGTTTGTGGAGCTGGCAGTGCCCACGCTGGTGGTGCCGGTGCTGGAACCCTGCGGGCGCTCCGAGTGCCTCCACCTCTTCGTGGACCTGCACTCGGGAGCCTTCCAGCCACTTCTCTATGGCCTGGGTGAGGGCACAGCCACCATCACCATCACCACCATCACCACCGCCACCACCGCCACCACCGCACTGCCGCCACCACCGCACTGCCGCCACCACCACCACACTGCCACCACCACCACACCACCATCACCACCACCACCGCCACCACCGCACTGCCACCACCACCACACTGCCACCACCACCACACTGCCACCACCACCACACTGCCACCACCAACACACCGCCACCACCACCACACTGCCATCACCACCACCACACTGCCACCACCACACTGCCACCACCACCACACCGCCACCACCACCACACTGCCACCGCCACCACACTGCCACCACCGCCACACTGCCACCACCACCACACTGCCATCACCACCACCACACTGCCACCACCACCACACCGCCACCACCACCACACCGCCACCACCACCACACTGCCACCACCACACCGCCACCACCGCACTGCCGCCACCACCGCCACACTGCCACCGCCACCACCACCACCACCACCGCCTCCTCCTCGCAACGGGGAGACCTGGGTTCAATTCCAAACTGGGGCCCTGCTGCTGCCGCTGTCCGGCACCTGCAGGGTCTGTCCCGTGACCTCCTCCTGCACCTAGCCTGGCACGGCAGTGCAACCTATGGCACCTGCTGGGTCTGTCCCGTGACCTCCTCCTGCACCTAGCCTGGCACGGCAGTGCAACCCATGGCACCTGCTGGGTCTGTCCCGTGACCTCCTCCTGCACCTAGCCTGGCACAAGTGCCGTGGTGATGTCACCACCACTTAGTGGCGAATGGCGGTGTTTGTGAGGAGTGTTTGTGAGAGTGAGGAGTGTTTGTGAGTGTGAGGAGTGAGGAGTGTTTGTGAGAGTGAGGAGTGTTTGTGAGAGTGAGGAGTGTTTGTGAGAGTGAGGAGTGAGAGTGAGGAGTGTTTATGAGAGTGAGGAGTGTTTGTGAGAGTGAGGAGTGTTTGTGAGAGTGAGGAGTGAGAGTGAGGAGTGTTTGTGAGAGTGAGGAGTGTTTGTGAGTGTGAGGAGTGTTTGTGAGTATGAGGAGTGTTTGTGAGAGTGCGGAGTGTTTATGAGAGTGAGGAGTGTTTGTGAGAGTGAGGAGTGTTTGTGGGAGTGAGAGTGAGGAGTGTTTGTGAGAGTGAGGAGTGTTTGTGAGTGTGAGGAGTGTTTGTGAGTGTGAGGAGTGTTTGTAAGAGTCAGGAGTTTGTGAGACTGAGGAGTGAGAGTGAGGAGTGTTTATGAGAGTGAGGAGTGTTTGTGAGAGTGAGGAGTGTTTGTGAGAGTGAGGAGTGAGAGTGAGGAGTGTTTGTGAGTGTGAGGAGTGTTTGTGAGTGTGAGGAGTGTTTGTGAGAGTCAGGAGTGTTTGTGAGAGTGAGGAGTGAGGAGTGTTTATGATAGTGAGGAGTGTTTGTGAGAGTGAGGAGTGTTTGTGAGAGTGAGGAGTGAGAGTGAGGAGTGTTTGTGAGAGTGAGGAGTGTTTGTGAGTGTGAGGAGTGTTTGTGAGTGTGAAGAGTGTTTGTGAGAGTCAGGAGTGTTTGTGAGACTGAGGAGTGAGAGTGAGGAGTGTTTGTGAGTGTGAGGAGTGTTTGTGAGAGTGAGGAGTGTTTGTGAGAGTCAGGAGTGTTTGTGAGACTGAGGAGTGAGAGTGAGGAGTGTTTGTGAGAGAGAGGAGTGTTTGTGAGAGTGAGGAGTGTTTGTGAGAGTGAGAGTGAGGAGTGTTTGTGAGAGTGAGGAGTGTTTGTGAGTGTGAGGAGTGTTTGTGAGTGTGAGGAGTGTTTGTGAGAGTCAGGAGTGTTTGTGAGAGTGAGGAGTGAGGAGTGTTATGAGAGTGAGGAGTGTTTGTGAGAGTGAGGAGTGTTTGTGAGAGTGAGAGTGAGGAGTGTTTGTGAGAGTGAGGAGTGTTTGTGAGTGTGAGGAGTGTTTGTGAGTGTGAAGAGTGTTTGTGAGAGTCAGGAGTGTTTGTGAGACTGAGGAGTGAGAGTGAGGAGTGTTTGTGAGTGTGAGGAGTGTTTGTGAGAGTGAGGAGTGTTTGTGAGAGTCAGGAGTGTTTGTGAGACTGAGGAGTGAGAGTGAGGAGTGTTTGTGAGAGAGAGGAGTGTTTGTGAGAGTGAGGAGTGTTTGTGAGAGTGAGGAGTGTTTGTGAGTGTTGCCGTGTGCCCGTGTTGATTTCCCAGAATCCTCTGTCCTGGACGATCTGGAGAAGTCGATCAATGAGGACATGAGGAGGCTCCCGGCCTGGCTGTCTTCACTCCGGTGGGACTACAGCACCACACTACAGCACCACACTACGGCACCACACTACGGCACCACACTACGGCACCACACTACAGCACCACACTACAGCACCACACTACAGCACCGCACTACAGCACCACACTACAGCACCACACTACAGCACCACACTACAGCACCACACTACAGCACTACACTACAGCACCACAGTAAAACACCACACTACAGCACAGCACCACAGCACCGCACTAAAACACAGCACCACACTACAGCACCACACTACAGCACCGCACTACAGCACCACACTACAGCACCGCACTACAGCACCACACTACAGCACCACACTACAGCACCACACTAAAACACAGCACCGCACTGCAGCACCACACTACAGCACCGCACTACAGCACCACACTACAGCACTACAACACCACACTACAGCACTACAACACCACACTACAACACCACACTACAGCACTACAACACCACGCTACAGCACCGCACTAAAGCACCGCACTACAGCACTACAACACCACACTACAGCACTACAACACCACACTACAGCACTACAGCACCGCACTACAGCACCGCACTACAGCACTGCACTACAGCACCACACTACAGCACCGCACTAAAACACACACCACACTACATCACCGCACTAAAACACAGCACCGCACTACAGCACCACACTACAGCACCGCACTAAAACACAGTACCACACTACAGCACCACACTACAGCACAGCACCACACTAAAACACAGCACCACACTACAGCACCACACCACAGCACCACACTACAGCACTACAACACCACACTAAAGCACCACACTACAGCACTACAACACCACACTACAGCACTACAACACCACACTACAGCACCACACTACAGCACCACACTACAACACCACACTACAGCACTACAGCACCACACTACAGCACCACACTACAGCACCACACTACAACACCACACTACAGCACTACAACACCACACTACTGCACCACACTACAGCACTACAACACCGCACTACAGCACCACACTACAGCACTACAACACCACACTACAGCACCACACTACAACACCACACTACAGCACTACAACACCGCACTACAGCACCACACTACAGCACCACACTACAACACCACACTACAGCACTACAACACCACACTACAGCACCACACTACAGCACTACAACACCACACTACAACACCACATTACTTCACCGCACTACAACGCCTCCCCTGAAGACAAAGATCCCCCATATAGCCTGACCAGGCTGTCAGGCTATATTGCTGGACTATATATGTGTGTGTGTGTGGGGTGCGGTAGTGTAGTGGTTAGTGCCTCATTGCGCTATGAACCGGGCAAAGAACCGAGTTTGATTCTCGCTCAGGACCAATTAATCGTGACGATTATCTGAACCGGTTTCTGGGCCTCCTCTAGGTTGACTTAGACTTAAATAAGTACCTGGTGTGGTGGTGTGCAGTGAACATCACCACAGGGTAGGCAGTCGCCCTCCTCCAACTGAGTCGCGGACGTAGTCTTGAGAGCAACACGTTTTTATTACAACACAACATAACGCAACCTACACTCGGGGGGTCGAACGCCCATCTCACCACGCTACGGCAGAACTGGGCACGGCGGTTCGCTATCCCGGTCCGGACCACGAGCTGGGCCCCGGGCCGCGTGGCCAGAGGCTTCTTCTCCCCAACGTGGATCTTCTTGACACCAGCAACACGAAGAACCCCGAGCCCCTCACGGGGCCCCCCCCCCCCGTTATATCCCCCCCGGGCTGGGGCCGGCTCCGTCCTTCGTCCCCGCCCCCCTTCCGCATCCCTCCGGCTCTTTCCCGAAGGGCTCCCGAGAGCTCCTTTAGACCACGTGACCGCCCAGCGGCCCCCCCCGTCCACCGGTTGGCCCCCCTCCAATATCGTCCGGCCACGTGTCGGCAGGTCAAGCGGCGCGTCGTGCCCCAACGTAACCCTGGCTGGCCGACGCTCTCTCTCGCTCAGCCAAGCCCCGCTAGGGCCGGTGGTACTACGCCCAGTGAGCGGGCTGCACTTTAAAGTCAACGCGTTCACCGCCGTGGCCTCGTAAGCCCGGCACCACACAGTGACAATCGCAGTCGCCACACATCTACCGGTCATCTCAGCCAGCCCATGGCACCTGGGTCTGTCCCGTGTCCTCCTGCTGGCGAGCCTTCGACGCTTCACGTGGCCTCAAAGTGCACCGGCCTGGCACAGCAGGCGCTGTGGGGATGTTACCGTTACTTAGTGGCGAGTATTGTCACGTGAGAATGTGAGCGGATATTTGAGCGAGTGTATTTGATAGTGTGATTGAGTGTATACGAGAGTGTGAGTGTAAATTAGAGTTAGTGAGGCGACTGACAGCACTTGCCCCTACACGGGGGAGCTTTGTCCGCCTGTGTGTGCAGCTTCTGAGGGGAGTGGTAGCGTAGCGGTTAGCGCTACGCTGCGCTACGAACTCAACGAGCTGAGTTCATTTCCCGCTCACGGCCAACACCAATGATGATTATCTGAACCGGTCCTGGGGCCTCCCCTAGGTCGACTCAAATGAGTACCTGGTGGCAGCTTGTAGTAAACATTGGCACTCGGAAGGGAAAGGCGGTCGAGTGTAGTGCTGGCCTTGCATAGGCACTCGCGAACATCACTTGCCCCAACGGTCTGTGTGAGGCTTTTCGGGGGATCTTTGTCTTTTATGCAGCTTCTGGCTAGGTGTGCAGCGCTGCAAGCAGTCTGTGAAGCACCTTCCAACGCTGTGCACGGAGACGCTGGCGCTGAGCAACGCGGCCACTCACCCAGTGAGCAGCCTGTCTGCTCACCGCCTCTACATCCGCCTCACCCGCCTGCCGCAGCACTACATCGTACGTACCCGCGCACGCATACACACACACACAGGTACACACGCGGGTACACGCACACACACAACAACAACAACAACAACCGCCATTCGCCACTAAGTGGCGGTGACGTCACCACGACGCTTGTGCCAGGCTGTGTGCACCCTGAGGCCACGTGAAGTGTTGAACGCCCGCTGGCAGGAGGTCACGGGGCAGACCCAGGTGCCACGGGTCGACTGACTGAGATGAGTGGCCGATGTGCCACCTGTGCCCCCTACTGTGCCAACTTGCTGTGCTTTAGCCACCCGGCGCTCCGCTCATTGTTGTGAGCATCGCTTCTCCACCCTCCGTTGTTGTTGGAGGGCGACTACCTCCAACTGCCCAGTAGCGTCCTTCACGAGCCTCCTCCACAGAGGCCGATCTTGACACCGCTGGTACCAGTCATCGGCAAGTCCACTCAGCTCCACATCCTCCTGTACCACATCACTCCATCTCTTCTCCAGCCCGTGCCGCACCCGTTAAGACTCCTTTTTCCGGCCGAACAATAGCTGTTTAGGCATGCGGTGACTGGGCATGCCGGAGGAGCTCACCGATCGGACTTTTCCCAGATCTTTCAAAGATTTGTGAGCTCCTCACACAATCCAGCCTGGTTAAACCCAGGATGGATCGTAGGCAGGCCAGCCTAAATGTTTCTAACCGGCGAAGATGTTCCATTAGGGGGGTCCACGTTTCACAAGCGTAGACAGGGAGGGCATGACTGTGGCCGAGAGGACCTGAAGCTTCGATGTTTAGCGACAGACCAGGTGGTAGCTTCCACACAGCGTTACGCAACCGACCAAAAGATAATGCCACTCGACTGATTCGGAGTGAGACCTCTGCTGTCAAACCGGAGCCGTTCATGAGCACGCTGCCCAGATATTGTAAGCTCTCCACTCTCTCCACAACTGCCCCATCACCAATTTGGAGTTGTGGGGGTGGAGTGTCCGATGGTACAAAATACCCAGGCAGGTGCTTAGTTTTCGTGGGGCTGATGGTAAGGCCCCACTTCTTAGTGGCACGCTCCAGGTTCAGCAGCAGCACCTCCAACTCCTCTTAGTGAACAGCAATTACCAGATCATCGGCACACATAACATAGTTGACCACTAGGGAGCCATCCCTTGACCGCACCGGTGCATCGATCAGCCTCCCATTGTATCTGTACCATATGGAGATTCCCCCGGTACAGTAATCAAAAGGCTTCATGAACGACGTGGTCAAAATAGATGTTAAATAATGTGGGAGCCAGAGGACATCCCTGTCGCGCACCCCAAGGTGAACAGGGAATGGCTTCGACTCCCGGCCACGTAGTTTTACCTGGGCCTGCTCACCATCATGAAGGTCCTTAATGATCGTGAGCAAAGAGTCAGGGCCTCCAAAAGCACAAAGAACAACCCAGAGCCCAGGCCTACTGATGATATCATAGGCCTTGACCAGGTCAATAAAGCAGAGATGTAGGTCTTGCTGGAATTTCCTACACCTTTGCTGTAGCAGACAGACAGAAAATATGGCATCTGTGCAGGACCGCCCTTTCCTGAAACCGCATTGGAGCTCCGCAAGCCTCTCCTCAGCGTGCCTAGCAAGGCGATGTTGAATAATCCTTGCCAGGACCTTTCCCGGCACACTGAGGAGTGAGATGCCCCTGTAGTTGTTACAGTCTGTGCGGTCCCCCTTCTTAAAGAGGACGACCACCAGGGCATCCTTCCAATCCTGCGGAACCCGTCCAGTGGTCCAGACTTGTTATGATGTCATGTAGGGCAGTCTGTACACAAACACCACCCTCCCTCAGCATTTCGCTTGGGAGATCAGGAAAGGCACCGGGCAGAGATGATCTCCCAAGCACACACACACACACACACGGGTACACGCACACAAAGACATAGATCCCCTGTATAGCCTTAACATACTGTAGGGGCAAGTGCTGTTAGCGAGCACCTATGAAGGCCGGAATGGGGGTGGCCAGTACCACGCCCGACCGCCTTTGTCTCCCCAGTGGCGATGTTTACACACCGCACTAGCTACTCATTTGAGGCTGATTCATCGCTCTCAACCCCTGATCAGTGCCCAACTTATTACAGACCTAATTCAGACCGTATTGGTCACCCCGTGCCCTTATAAATCTCAACGTTCATCCCTCAAAGTCCCATCACAAGGGAGAAACACAAATTCACAAACAAAATTGCCCGTATTGAAATGGCTGTACACCGTATGGACCTGAAAACTCAATTTCGCCGTAGAAGACTCTGGGTAAACCGTACGGGCTGACAGGTTTGCCGATTCGACCTCGTGGAGGCCCTGGACCAATTCAGATAATTGTCACTGGTGGTGAATGGGAATGGAACTCGGGTTACCGGGTTCATAGCGCAGCGCGCTAATCGCTGCGCCACCGCTCCCACACATAGGTACACACACACACGGGTACACACACACACACGGGTACACACACACACACACGGGTACACACACACACACGGGTACACACACACACACACGGGTACACACACACACACGGGTACACAGAAACAAACACGGGTACACACACACACACGGGTACACACACACACACACGGGTACACACACACACACGGGTACACACACACACACACACGGGTACACACACACACACGGGTACACACACACACACGGGTACACACACACACACGGGTACACACACACACACGGGTACACACACACACACACGGGTACACACACACACACGGGTACACACACACACACGGGTACACACACACACACGGGTACACACACACACACACGGGTACACACACACACACGGGTACACACACACACACACACGGGTACACACACACACACGGGTACACACACACACACGGGTACACACACACACACGGGTACACACACACACACGGGTACACACACACACACTCGCACGCACACACTTGCACGCACATGCAGGTACACACACACACTCGCACGCACATGCAGGTACACACACACACTCGCACGCACATGCAGGTACACGCACCTGGGTACGCACACACACCGTGTCCCTCCCCCACCGTGTCCCTCCCCCACCGTGTCCCTCCCCCCCCGTGCCCCCCCCCGTGCCCCCCCCCGTGCCCCCCCCCTTGTGCCCCCCCCCCCCCCCGCTCCAGGTGGTGGAGCTGCTTGAGAAGCCCGGCTGCCCTACGGAGCTCTGCTACCGCTTCCACCTGCTGGTGGTGAGCGGCGCTGGCGGGGGCGGTGGCGGGGGGGGTGAGGCGGAGGGTGGGGGCGGTGGCTCGGGACCCCCCACGGCCCCCCTCACCGCTCTGCTGCTGCGCTCTTTCAAGCCGGACCTCGAGGAGCTCTACCTGCTGCTGGACCCGCGGACTGGCAGCAGCGGCGGCGGCGGCGGTGGCAGCCGGGTCCCTGGGAAGCGCAAGGTGCGCCCGTGTCCCTACGCGCGTTTGTTGGTGCCGGACGGGAAACACCGTGCCGAGCAGTGCCGTGGGGGGAGGGCCAATTTCGATTGCCCATTCCCCCCCGTGGTGTTCGTGGTCACCACAGTGGCCAAACGGGGGCTCTGGACGGGTTGCGGGTGGCTGGTAACCCCTCCACCTTCAAATAAATTACTACGATACCACAGAAAATATCAAACGGAGCTTGTGCCGGAGGCCCCGGGAGGACAGGCGTCGATGACGTCTCCTGGCCAAAACCCCATTTGGAGGAGCCAGGAGATTGAATCCTTACCCTCGGGTTTCCTCCAGAAGCAGCAAAAAGCCACTGCGGGTGGCCACGTGGAATATTCGAGGAGAGGCTGCCACTCCTCCGTTGGGAGCTGGACCGGTACCGCCTGGATTTCCGTAGTATTTAGGAGGTCCCGTGGACCGCCTCTGGCTCCTGCCACCATGAGGGGTGGACAGTCCTCTACTCGGGGCAGGAAGCTACCAACCAACAGGGAGTGGCTCTTCTTCTAAACAAAAGAATAAAGGGGGTGTGGGAGTGTGGCGGTGAGGTGTAGGAAGCTGTAAGCCCCAGGTTACTTTGGACTCACCTTCCCATCAACCGGAGGTGAGGAGTGGTGGTCGTGGTTACTAATGCCCCCACCGAATATGAACATCAGTGGAGGGATGCAGGCAAAGCCTATGAGTCAGATGACCTCCTGTCACAGGTGCTAGCTCAAGTGGCCCCTTGGGATAGTCATCATGTTGGGTGACTTCAATGCCCGATTTGGTAATGATGCTGGCACCTGGTTTGGAGTGATTGGAAGGCATGGGCCAGATCAGCTTAATAACAACGGTAGGAGGCTGCTAGTCTTTTGTGTAGCTCATGGGCTTGTAATTACCAACACGCTGTTCCGGCATCGGCCCATCCACACAACATCATGGATGCATGCTGGGTCCAAGTAAGAACATCTGCTGGACTATATAGTGATGGAACGGCGGATGCAGGCCAATGTCCATGACACCAGGACCTACCGTGGAGCTGATCTGCCCACTGACTATCGACTTGTCATTTGTAAAATGCGCCTGCCATTCTTCCACTCCGGTGGTGGGTGTACACCCAGGCTGGCTGAGAAAAAGCGGCAGGCTCACTCTCCTCGTCTTAGAGCATCCGACGTCAGAGAATGGGAAGGCTTAACGCAGCCTTCGCTCGGAGGTTCGGAGGGCCGTGAGGCGCTGCAAGGATGGGTGGTGGTCGCGGGTTGCTGAGGAGATGAAATCTGCCTCAGTGGTCCGCGATCACTCTTTAATTTCATGCACAGATGCCATAATTTCTGTCCGTCTGCTGCAGCAGAGGTGTAGGAAATTCCAACAAGACCTACATCTCTGCTTTATTGACCTGGTCAAGGCCTATAATACCATCAGTAGGCCTGGGCTCTGGGTTGTTCTTCGTGCTTTCGGAGGCCCTGACTCTCTGCTCACGATCATTAAGGACCTTCATGATGGTGAGCAGGCCCAGGTAAAACTACGTGGCCGGGAGTCGAAGCCATTCCCTGTTCACCTTGGGGTGCGACAGGGATGTTCTCTGGCTCCCACATTATTTAACATCTATTTCGACCATGTAGTTCATGAAGCCTTCGATTACTGTTCTGGAGGAATTCCCATCTGGTACAGGTACAATGGGAGGCTGATCGATGCACCGGTGCGGTCAAGGGATGGCTTCCTAGTGGTCAACTATGTTATGTATGCCGATGATCTGGTAATTGCTGCTCACTCAGAGGAGGAGTTGGAGGTGCTGCTGCTGAACCTGGAGCGTGTCACTAGGAGGTGGGGCCTTACCATCAGCCCCACAAAAACTAAGCACCTGCCTGGGTATTTTGTACCATCAGACACTCCACCCCCACAACTCCCAATCGGTGATGGGGCAGTTCTGGAGAGAGTGGAGAGTTTCCCATACCTGGGCAGTGTGCTCATGACCGGCTCCGGTTTGACAGCAGAGGTCTCACTCCGAATCAGTCGAGTGGCATTATCTTTTCATCGGTTGTGTAACTCTGTGTGGAAGCTACCTGGTCGGTCGCTCCACACGAAGCTTCAGGTCTTCTCGGCCACAGTCATGCCCTCCTTTCTCTACGCTTGCGAAACGTGGACCCCCCTAATGGAACATCTTCGCCGGTTAGAAACATTTAGGCTGGCCTGCCTACCATCCATCCTGGGTTTAACCAGGCTGGATTGCGTGAGGAGCTCACAAATCCTTGAAAGATCTAGACCTATTGGTGAGCTCCTCTGGCAGACAAGGCTACATTGGCTGGGTCATGTAGCCCAGCCGCTGCATGCCGAAACAGCTTTTGTTCGGCCGGATAAAGGGGGCTAAACGGGTGCGGCATGGGCTAGAGAAGAGATGGAGTGATGCCGTACAGGAGGATGTGGAGCTGAGTGGACTTGCCGATGACTGGTACCAGCGGTGTCAAGATTGGCCTCTGTGGAGGAGGCTCGTGAAGGACGCTACTGGGCAGTTGGAGGCAGTCGCCCTCCAACAACAACGGAGGGCGGAGGAGCGACGCTCACAACAACGAGCGGAGTGCCGGGTGGCTAAAGCACAGCAGGTTGACAGAGTAGGGGGCACAGGTGGTGCATCAGCCAGTCATCTCAGTCAGTCGACCCGTGGCACCTGGGTCTGCCCCGTGACCTCCTGCCAGCGGGCGTTCGACACTTCACGCGGCCTCAACGTGCACATGGCCTGGCACAAGCGTCGTGGTGACGTCACCGCCACTTAGTTGCGACTGGCGGTTGTTGTTGTACATGTGTGTGTTCGTGAACTTGTGTGTTCATGTGCCAGAAAGTCTGTGAGGGCTCCTTGGTAGTGTAGCGGTGAGCACCCTGTGCTGTAAACCCGCCCATCTGAGTTTGATTCCCGCTCACGGCCAACACCAGTGACAATTATCTGAACTGATCCTGGGCCTCCCCTAGGTCAACTCAGTCTCAAATGAGTACCTGGTGTAGCGGTGTGCAGTAAACCGCCACTGGGGAGACAAAGGCGGCCGGGCGTGGTGCTGGCCACCCACCCCCTCGTGTGCCATGCCCCCATGTGTGTACGTGTGTGTACATGTGTGTACATGTGTGTACGTGTGTGTACGTGAGTACTCCTTGTGTGTACATGTGTGTACATCAGTACCCCTTGTGTGTACATGTGTGTGCGTGTGTGTACGTGTGTGTACGTGAGTACCCCTTGTGTGTACGTGTGTGTACGTGTGTGTACATGTGTGTACGTGTGTGTACGTGAGTACCCCCTGTGTGTACGTGTGTGTACATGTGTGTACGTGTGTGTACATGTGTGTACGTGTGTGTACGTGTGTGTATGTGAGTACCCCTTGTGTGTACGTGTGTACATGTGTGTACATGTGTGTACGTGAGTACCCCTTGTGTGTGTACGTGTGTGTACGTGTGTGTACGTGTGTGTACGTGTGTGCGTGCACCTCGGCCAGGCCTCCTCTGCCCCCGCGGCTGCAGCGACGGTGACGGGTGGCGCTGCACCAGCACCCGACGCCAAGCGGCCGCGCCTGTCGGGCGAGCCCAGTGCCCACAACCGGGAGCTGGCACACCTGGTGGCCGTGTGTGACAGCAGCCTGCCCTTCGTCTGCATGCGCCACGAGGTGATTGGATGATCGGTAATGGCGGCGGAGGCGACTGAACCCACGTGCGTCGCACGCGAGTAGGGATGAGAGCGGTGGTGTTGGGACGCTGCCTCTAGACGCCAAGCCTGCACGCGCCTCGGTCTTCTGTTCGGCCTGCGTTACGCATCTCTCTCTCTCTCGGGGGGGGCATTGTCACCGACTGCGCTGTTAACCCTGTAGCAGGAGACTCGATTATCCGCATGCGGTTTATCCGATTTGCGGATTAACCGCAGCACCTAAGATTTTGACGTAAATTAATTCCTCGCCGACGCTCCCATGACCCCAAATGAAGAATCATCTTAAAAAAACAGCTGTAACCCAACAAACGTGTGGCTCCGGTTAATCAAAAATCCACGTGATTGCCCCTAGGGCACAGTAGATGCAACATCTCTACAACGGCGGGTGGCGGAGTTTGACGTTGATTGGCGTGGCTCTGCGACTGTCGTCCATGAAGTGGGCCTCATCCTACCAGGCAGAGCCCACTGAGGTATTAATTTGTTTTTTTCCAGAAGTGATCTGGCCATCACAGATGATAGCTCCACAAAGTGGTTTATTATCACGTGGATATTCATAGCAGTAGCAGCAGCAGCAAAATAATTTAAATAAGCTCGCTGCACGTTTCTAAATGTGGAGGGGGAAAGCCGGAGGATCCAGAGAAAAAATCCACACAACCACTGGGAGAGAGAGAGACACGCAAACTCCAAATCTTTGCGTGTTTGTGAGTAGGATCTTGCCTAGGGGCACCCCAGTGGCAGCTGGCCCTATGCATTAATCTGCTTTTAGTCGTGGGGCAATGATGGCTGTTGGTATGTACGTACGTTGAATTTTTTTCGCACCATGTGGAGCCAACCGGGCTAATCTCTGAGTGTTTGTGGGTCTCTGTGGGTGTCTCTGTGTGTCTGTGGGTCTCTGTGGGTGTCTCTGTGGATGTCTCTGTGGATGTCTCTGTGGGTGTCTCTGTGTGTCTCTGTGTGTGTCTCTGTGTGTCTCTGTGGGTGTGTCTGTGTCTCTGTGGGTGTCTCTGTGTGTCTGTGGGTCTCTGTGGGTGTCTCTGTGGATGTCTCTGTGGATGTCTCTGTGGGTGTCTCTGGGTGTCTCTGTGTGTGTCTCTGTGGGTGTGTCTGTGGGTCTCTGTGGGTGTCTCTGTGTGTCTGTGGGTCTCTGTGGGTGTCTCTGTGGATGTCTCTGTGGATGTCTCTGTGGGTGTCTCTGTGTGTCTCTGTGTGTGTCTCTGTGTGTCTCTGTGGGTGTGTCTGTGTCTCTGTGGGTGTCTCTGTGTGTCTGTGGGTCTCTGTGGGTGTCTCTGTGTGTCTGTGGGTCTCTGTGGGTGTCTCTGTGGATGTCTCTGTGGGTGTCTCTGTGTGTGTCTCTGTGGGTGTGTCTGTGTCTCTGTGGGTGTCTCTGTGTGCCTGTGGGTGTCTCTGTGGGTGTCTCTGTGTCTCTGTGGGTCTCTGTGGGTGTCTCTGTGGATGTCTCTGTGGGTGTCTGTGGGTCTCTGTGAGTGTCTCTGTGGATGTCTCTGTCTGTGGGTCTCTGTGGGTGTCTCTGTGTCTCTGTGGGTCTCTTTGGTTGTCTCTGTGTGTCTGTGTGTGTCTGTGTGTCTCTGTGGGTGTCTCTGGGTCTGGGTGTTTCTGTGGGTCTCTGTGGGTGCCTCTGTGGGTCTATGTGGGTGTGTCTGTGTGTCTGTGGGTCTCTGTGGGTGTCTCTGTGTGTCTGTGGGTCTCTGTGGGTGTGTCTGTGGGTCTCTGTGGGTGTCTCTGTGTGTCTGTGGGTGTCTCTGTGGGTCTCTGTGGGTGTGTCTGTGGGTCTCTGTGGGTGTCTCTGTGTGTCTGTGGGTCTCTGTGGGTGTCTCTGTGTGTCTGTGGGTCTCTGTGGGTGTGTCTGTGGGTCTCTGTGGGTGTCTCTGTGTGTCTGTGTGTCTCTGTGGGTGTCTCTGTGTGTCTGTGGGTCTCTGTGGGTGTCTCTGTGGGTCTGTGTGGGTGTCTCTGGGTCTGGGTGTCACTGTGTGTCTCTGTGGGTGTCTCTGGGTCTGGGTGTCTGTGTGGGTGTCTCTGGATCTGTGTGGGTGTCTCTGTGGGTCTGTGTGGGCGTTCTGGATCTCTGTGGGTGTCTCTGGGTCTGTGTGGGTGTCTCTGGGTCTAGGTGTCTCTGTGGGTCTGCCTGAGTGTCTCTGGTTCTCTGTGTATGGATGTTGAATTTATTTCGCACCGTATGTATCCAACCGCGCTAAACGGTGGTGTGGTGGAAGGACACCAAACTAAACACAAAGAGCAGTTTTAAAGTAACGAGTTTTCAATCTGAAAGTGCACTGCTCCCAGCAGCGTCCTCACGTCAGAAGGGAGAGTGTTCCAGACGGCTACAGAAGCGTGCCTGAAAGTGCCGAGCAACGCGGTGACCGTCTTGTCTGATGGCGAGCCAAAAGCCGCTGCTGCTGCCGCTGCTGCTGCGAGGATAAACCGGAGTTCACGTGATGATGATGATGATGATGGTTGTTTATTGTCCTTGACGAGATCAGCGGTGAGGTCTTGTGGTTCATGTGTCGCAAGCGCTTTGTGTGTAATGAGCGCCACCTCGTAACGCATTCGTTGGGCAAACGGAAGCCAGCGTGGCTCAGCGAGCGCTGGACGGATGTGGTGGTATGGTCAGATCTGCCGATCCCACTGCTGTTGCTGTGCGGGTCTAGCCAAAGGAGCACCCCCAGTGGCAGCTGCTGCATTACCCTCCTGCCGCTAGCGGCAAGATGGTGACCGCTCCCTCACTCGCACATTCTGCAGGACAGGGGGAGGTCATGCTTGGAGATCTGTTTGCGTGTGAATATTGTTTTTTTTATTGTACCCGCTCTCAGGCCCACAGAGCTACGAAGCTCTTTCTCAGACAAGCGACCTGTCACAAATGATAGCTCAACCAGGGGGTGTATCATCATCATCATCACCGTTTGGGAATCTAAAGCAGCCAAATACTCAAAATGTGGAGGGAAAAATCGGAGGACCCAGAGAAAAACCCACGACCTCCTGCATACCTGGTGAGAGAGTTAACATCTCCTAGCCACCGACGATGATGAGAGAGACACGCAAACTCCAAAATTACAACAGGCATCAGCATCGGTATCAATCCCACGACCTCCTGCATACCTGGCGACGGAGTTAACATCTAGCCACCGACGATGATGAGAGAGACACGCAAACTCCAAAATTACAACAGGCATCAGCATCGGTATCAAACCCACGACCTCCTGCATACCTGGCGAGGTAGTTAACATCTCCTAGCCACCGTGGCGCCCACAATTTATTATGGGGAGTGGTGGCACAGCGGTGAGCGCGCTGCGCTACGAACCCGGCGACCCGAGTTCGATTCCCGCTCAGACCACCGACACCAGGTGACAGCGATTATCTGAACTGGTCCTGGGCCTCCCCTAGGTCGACTCGGCCTCAAATGAGTACCTGGTGCGGTGTGTAGTAAACATCGCCACTGGGGAGACAAAGGCGGCCGGGCGTGATGCTGGCCACCCTTCCCCTGGTGTGCCACATAGGTGCTGCTACTCACCAACAGCACTTGCCCCAACAACCCTGATAAGGCTACACGGGGGACCTTTGTCTTTGGTGTCTGTGTTGTGCAGCTGTCCGCTATGGACATCCCGCACCAGGGGCTACAGGTGGAGGGAGACAACACCACCCTGGCCATACGGCTCCTGAAGTGCGTACACACACACGCACGTACACACACACACACACGTACACACACACACACACGCACGTACACACACACACACACGTACACACACACACGTACACGCATGCACCTACACACACGTACGTACACACACGTACACACACGTACACACACACACGTACACACACGCACGTACACACGCACACACGTACACACACGTACACACACGTACACACACACACGTACACACACGCACGTACACACACGTACACACACGTACACACACGCACGTACACACACGTACACACACGCACGTACACACACGCACGTACACACACGTACACGCACACGTACACGCACACGTACACACACGCACGTACACACACGTACACACACGCACGTACACACGCACGTACACACACGTACACACACGTACACACACGCACGTACACACACGCATGTACACACACGTACACACACGCACGTACGCACACGCACGTACACACACGTATGCACACGCACGTACACACACGTACGCACACGCACGTACACACACGTACACACACGTACACACACGCACGTACACACACGCACGTACACACACACGTACACACACACGTACACACACACGTACACACACACCCGTACACACACGCACGTACACACACACGTACACACACGTACACAGACACATGTACACACACGTGTACACTCACACACGTGTACACTCACACACGTGTACACACACACACGTGTACACTCACACACGTGTACACTCACACACGTGTACACACACACACGTGTACACTCACACACGTGTACACACACACGTGTACACTCACACACGTGCACACACACGTGTACTACTCACACACGTGTACACTCACACATGTACTACTCACACACGTGTACACTCACACACGTGTACACTCACACACGTGTACACACACGTGTACACTCACACACGTGTACTACTCACACACGTGTACACTCACACATGTACTACTCACACACGTGTACACTCACACACGTGTACTACTCACACACGTACTTACACACAGACCAAGCCCTAGTGTGTGCACTGGACACACACTAACCACTCTGAACGCTTCTCTGTGCTCATTCACGCTCACCGCCACTCCGTGCTGCCACTCGGTGCCGCTACTCCATACTGCGCGCTGCCCGACATTTTGTTCTGCTGCTGTGTGCTCCCTGCTGCTCCCTGCTGCTGCTGCTGCTGTGTGCTCCCTGCTGCTCCCTGCTGCTGCTGCTGCTGTGTGCTCCCTGCTGCTCCCTGCTGCTGCTGCTGCTGTGTGCTCCCTGCTGCTGCTGTGTGCTCTCTGCTGCTGCTGTGTGCTCCCTGCTGCTCTCTGCTGCTGCTGCTGTGTGCTCCCTGCTGCTGCTGCTCCCTGCTGCTGCTGTGTGCTCCCTGCTGCTGCTGTGTGCTCCCTGCTGCTGCTGCTCCCTGCTGCTGTGTGCTCCCTGCTGCTGCTGCTCCCTGCTGCTGTGTGCTCCCTGCTGCTGCTGCTCCCTGCTGCTGCTGCTGTGTGCTCCCTGCTGCTGCTGCTTTACACTCCTCACTGCCCCCTGCTGCTGCTCCCTGCTGCTGCTGCTGCTGTGTGCTCCCTGCTGCTGCTGCTCCCTGCTGCTGCTGTGTGCTCCCTGCTGCTGCTGTATGCTCCCTACTGCTGCTCCCTGCTGCTGCTGTATGCCCCCTGCTGCTGCTCCCTGCTGCTGCTGCTGCTGTGTGCTCCCTGCTGCTGCTGCTGCTGCTCCCTACTGCTGCTGTGTGCTGCTGCTGCTGCTTTACACTCCGCGCTGCCCCCTGCTGCTGCTGCTGCTGTGTGCTCCCTGCTGCTGCTGTGTGCTCCCTGCTGCTGCTGTATGCTCCCTGCTGCTCCCTGCTGCTCCCTGCTGCTGCTGCACGCTCCCCGCTGTTTCCTGCTGCTCCCCGCTGTGTGCCGCGTGCTCCCTGCTGCAGGATCCCGCCGTGCATGGAGGTGGGCGTGGAGGCGTGCGGCGAGCTGGAGCGCTCCCTGCTGGACTGCACCATGCGGTTGCAGGGCCGCAACAATCGCACCTGGCTGGTGGAGCTGGCATTCACAGGCTGCCCCGTGCACAGCACCTCACCCAGAGAGCAGGGTACACGCCGCACCGCACCGCACCGCACGGCACGGCACGGCACCACACGGCACCACACGGCACGGCACGGCACCACACGGCACCACACGGCACCACACGGCACCACACGGCACGGCACGGCACCACACGGCACCACACGGCACCACACGGCACCACACGGCACGGCACCACACGGCACGGCACCGCACGGCACCGCACGGCACCGCAAAGAGCACGGAGGAAGGACCTCGCCCTGCGAGCAGGGTCCACACTGCACACGCAGCACTGTACACCACCCATTACACTGTATGCGATACCAAACTGTACACAACACCACACTGCGCTCGACCCCTGCACCGCGTGTTGCACTGTACACCGCACACCACACTGTACAGTACACCACACTACACTGTACACCAGACTACACTGTACACTACACTGCACACTACACCCTGCACTGTACACCGCACTACACTGTACACCACACACTGCACTGTACACTGCACTGCACACTGTACACTACACACTGCACTGTACACCACACCACACTGTACACTACACACTACACTACACACTGCACTGCACTGTGCACTGCACACTGCACTGTACACCACGCTGCACTGTGCACAGCACACTGCACTGTACACCACGCACTGCACTGTACACCACGCTGCACTGTACACTACACATTGCACTGCACACTACACTGCACACTACACTGTACACCACACTACACTGTACACCACACTGTACACCACACTACACTGTACACTACACTGCGCGGTACACCGCACACTACACTGTACACCACACTACACTGTACACTGCACTGTACACCACACTGCACATTGCACACTACACTGTACACTACACTTCACACTACACTGTACACTACACTGCACACCAAACTGTACACTACACTGCACACCACACTGCACACTACACTGTACACTACACTGCACACTACACTGTACACCACACTACACTGTGCACTACGCCGTACACTACACTGTACACTACACTGCACACTACACTGTACACTACACTGTACACTACACCGCACACTACACTGTACACTACACTGCACACTACACCGTACACCACACTACACTGTACACTACACTGTACACTGTACACACCTCACACAACGCACTGCACCCAGTGGAGTCGGGGCGGCACCGCTGCACGGCCCCCCGCCCCCCCCCCACCCCCCCGCCCCCCCCGCCCCCCCCCCCCCCCCGTCACGAGGGAGACAAAGACGCCCGGGTCGTGCGTGGTGCTGGCCACCGACCCCCCTTGGGTGCCACAATGGCGGCCTTCATAGGCTGTGCCGCTGCTACTTACTACTACGAGGCCCTAACAGGCCGTGCCAGGCTACACGGGGTGGTGGTGGTGGTGAGAGTGGTGGTGGTGGTGGTGATAGTGGTGGTGGTGATAGTGGTGAGAGTGGTGGTGAGAGTGGTGGTGGTGGTGAGAGTGGTGGTGGTGGTGAGAGTGGTGGTGGTGGTGAGAGTGGTGGTGGTGGTGGTGAGAGTGGTGGTGGTGGTGAGAGTGGTGGTGAGAGTGGTGGTGGTGAGAGTGGTGGTGGTGGTGAGAGTGGTGGTGGTGGTGAGAGTGGTGGTGGTGGTGAGAGTGGTGGTGGTGATAGTGGTGGTGGTGAGAGTGGTGGTGAGAGTGGTGAGAGTGGTGGTGGTGGTGGTGATAGTGGTGGTGATAGTGGTGGTGGTGGTGGTGAGAGTGGTGGTGGTGATAGTGGTGGTGGTGAGAGTGGTGGTGAGAGTGGTGGTGAGAGTGGTGAGAGTGGTGGTGGTGGTGGTGATAGTGGTGGTGGTGATAGTGGTGGTGGTGAGAGGTGGTGGTGGTGGTGAGAGTGGTGGTGGTGGTGAGAGTGGTGGTGGTGGTGGTGAGAGTGGTGGTGGTGGTGGTGAGAGTGGTGGTGGTGGTGGTGGTGAGAGTGGTGGTGAGAGTGGTGGTGGTGATAGTGGTGGTGGTGGTGAGAGTGGTGGTGGTGGTGGTGGTGAGAGTGGTGGTGGTGATGGTGGTGGTGGTGAGAGTGGTGGTGAGAGTGGTGGTGAGAGTGGTGAGAGTGGTGGTGGTGGTGGTGATAGTGGTGGTGGTGGTGGTGAGAGTGGTGGTGGTGATAGTGGTGGTGGTGAGAGTGGTGGTGAGAGTGGTGGTGAGAGTGGTGAGAGTGGTGGTGGTGGTGGTGATAGTGGTGGTGGTGATAGTGGTGGTGGTGAGAGTGGTGGTGGTGGTGAGAGTGGTGGTGGTGATAGTGGTGGTGGTGAGATTGGTGGTGGTGATAGTGGTGGTGGTGGTGGTGGTGAGAGTGGTGGTGGTGGTGGTGGTGAGAGTGGTGGTGGTGATGGTGGTGGGAGTGATGGTGGTGGTGGTGGTGGTGAGAGTGGTGGTGGTGGTGAGAGTGGTGGTGGTGATAGTGGTGAGAGTGGTGGTGGTGGTGAGAGTGGTGGTGGTAGTGGTGGTGGTGAGAGTGGTGGTGAGAGTGGTGAGAGTGGTGGTGGTGATGTTGATGGTGGTGGTGGTGAGAGTGGTGGTGGTGAGAGTGGTGTTGGTGGTGAGAGTGGTGGTGAGAGTGGTGGTGGTGGTGAGAGTGGTGGTGGTGATAGTGGTGGTGGTGGTGAGAGTGGTGGTGGTGGTGGTGAGAGTGGTGGTGGTGATAGTGGTGAGAGTGGTGGTGGTGATAGTGGTGGTGGTGATAGTGGTGGTGGTGGTGATGTTGATGGTGGTGGTGGTGAGAGTGGTGGTGGTGAGAGTGGTGGTGGTGATGGTGGTGGTGATAGTGGTAAGAGTGGTGGTGGTGATAGTGGTGAGAGTGGTGGTGGTGAGAGTGGTGGTGGTGATGTTGATGGTGGTGGTGGTGGTGAGAGTGGTGGTGGTGATGTTGATGGTGGTGGTGGTGGTGAGAGTGGTGGTGGTGATGTTGATGGTGGTGGTGGTGGTGGGGGTTCTGTGTCTGTGTGCTGCAGGCCCCGTGCGCCGCGTCTACCTCACCTACGAGAGCCCCCCGGCACAGCCGGCCGGGAGCCGCCGGGTCCTCCACGCGTTCCTGGACGACTGGCGCTCCATCTCACGCCTCTACAGCTGCGTGCTCGACTTCTCTCACACGCTGCACGGTGAGTCGCTCGCTCGCTCACCCGCCCACTCGCTCGCTCACTCACCCACTCGCTCACTCACCCACCCACTCGCTCACTCGCTCACCCGCCCACCCACTCGCTCACTCACTCGCTCGCTCACCCGCCTACTCACTCACTCGCTCACCCGCCCACCCACTTGCTCACTCACTCACTCAATCGCTCGCTCACTCACTCGCTCGCTCGCTCACCCGCCCACTCACTCGCTCAGTCACTCGCTCGCTCATTCACTCTCTCACTTACCCACCCACTCGCTCACCACCCACCCACTCGCTCGCTGACCCGCTCACTCAATCGCTCGCTCACTTACCCACCCACCCGCCCACTCGCTCGCTCGCTCACTCGCCCACTCACTCACTCGCTCACCCGCCCACCCACTTGCTCACTCGCTCACCCGCCCACTCGCTCGCTCAGTCACTCGACCGCTCGCTCACCCGCCCACTCACTCATTCGTTTACCAGCCCACTCACTCGCTCAGTCACTCGACCGCTCGCTCATTCACTTGCTCATTCGCTCATCCGCCCACTCACTCGCTCAGTCACTCGCTCGCTCATTCACTCACTCGCTCACTCGCTCAATTACCCACCCACTCGCTCACCCACTCACTTGCTCGCTCACTCACACGCTCGCTCACTCACTCACTCGCTCACTTACCCACCCACTCGCTCGGTCGCTCAATCACTCAACCGCCCACTCACTCGCTCACTCACTCGCTCGCTCATTCACTCACTCGCTCACTCGCTCAGTCACTCGCTCGCTCACTCGCTCACTCAGTCACTTGCTCACTCACTCACTCACTCGCTCAGTCACTCGCTGGCTCACCCGCAGTGAGCGAGTGATTGTTGTTGTCGTGGTGGTTGTGGATGTATCGATTGTTGTTGTTGTTGTTATTGTTGTTGTTATTGTTGTTGTTATTGTTGTTGTTATTGTTGTTGTTATTGTTGTTGTTATTGTTGTTGTTATTGTTGTTGTTGTTGTTATTGTTGTTGTTATTGTTGTTGTTATTGTTGTTATTGTTGTTGTTATTGTTGTTGTTATTGTTGTTGTTATTGTTATTGTTGTTGTTATTGTTGTTGTTGTTATTGTTGTTGTTATTGTTGTTGTTATTGTTGTTGTTGTTATTGTTGTTGTTATTGTTGTTGTTATTGTTGTTGTTATTGTTGTTGTTATTGTTGTTGTTATTGTTGTTATTGTTGTTGTTATTGTTGTTGTTATTGTTGTTGTTATTGTTGTTGTTGTTATTGTTGTTATTGTTGGTGTTGTTATTGTTGTTGTTGTTATTGTTGTTATTATTGTTGTTGTTATTGTTGTTGTTATTGTTGTTGTTATTGTTGTTGTTATTGTTGTTGTTGTTATTGTTGTTGTTATTGTTGTTGTTATTGTTGTTGTTGTTATAGAGACGACTGTTCACTTCAGCCAGTTTGCGGAGGTGCGCACCTACACCTACAAGAAGCTGGTGCTGTGTTACGGACCCAACAAGGGCAGCTCGGTACGCTCACCATCACTCACTCACCATCACTCACTCACCATCACTCACCACTCACCATCACTCACCACTCACTCACCACTCACCACTCACTCACCATCACTCACCACTCACTCACCACTCACTCACAACTCACCACTCACTCACTCACCACTCACTCACCATCACTCACTCACTCACCACTCACCATCCACTCACTCACCACTCACTCACTCACTCACCACTCACTCACCACTCACTCACCATCACTCACCACTCACCACTCACTCACCACTCACTCACCACTCACTCACCATCACTCACCACTCACTCACCATCACTCACCATCACTCACCATCACTCACTCACCACTCACCACTCACTCACCATCACTCACTCACCATCACTCACTCACCATCACTCACTCACCACTCACCATCACTCACTCACCATCACTCACTCACCATCACTCACTCACCACTCACCACTCACTCACCATCACTCACTCACCACTCACCATCACTCACTCACTCACTCACCACTCACTCACCACTCACCACTCACTCACTCACTCACCATCACTCACCACTCACTCACCCACTCACTCACCACTCACTCACCCACTCACCACTCACTCACCATCACTCACCACTCACTCACCATCACTCACCACTCACCATTGACCACTCACTCATCACTCACTCACCATCACTCACCATTCACCACTCACTCATCACTCACTCACCATCACTCACCACTCACTCACCATCACTCACCATCACTCACCACTCACCATTCACTCACCCACTCACTCACCACTCACTCACCCACTCACCACTCACTCACCATCACTCACCACTCACCATTCACCACTCACTCATCACTCACTCACCATCACTCACCACTCACTCACCATCACTCACCACTCACTCACCATCACTCACCACTCACTCACCACTCACCACTCACTCACCACTCACCACTCACTCACCACCCACTCACCACTCACTCACCATCACTCACCACTCACCACTCACTCACCACTCACCACTCACTCACCACTCACTCACCACTCACTCACCATCACTCACCACTCACCACTCACTCACCATCACTCACTCACCACTCACCATTCACCACTCACTCACCATCACTCACTCACCACTCACCATTCACCACTCACTCACCATCACTCACTCACCACCCACTCACCACTCACTCACCATCCACTCACCACTCACTCACCATCACTCATCACTCACTGACCACTCACTCACCATCACTCACTCACCACTCACTCACCACTCACCATCACTCACCACTCACTCGCCATCACTCACCATCACTCACTCACCACTCACTCACCATCACTCACTCACCATCACTCACTCACCACTCACTCACCATCACTCACTCACCACTCACTCACCACTCACTCACCACTCACTCACCATCACTCACCATCACTCACCACTCACTCACCACTCACTCACCACTCACTCACTCACCATCACTCACCACTCACCATCACTCACCACTCACTCACCACTCACTCACCACTCACTCACTCACCATCACTCACCACTCACTCACCACTCACCACTCACTCACCACTCACTCACCACTCACCACTCACTCACCACTCACCACTCACTCACCACTCACCACTCACTCACTATCACTCACCACTCACTCACCATCACTCACTCACCACTCACCACTCACTCACCACTCACCACTCACTCACCATCACTCACCACTCACCACTCACTCACCATCACTCACTCACCATTCACTCACCACTCACCCACTCACTCACCACTCACTCACCACTCACTCACCACTCACTCACCATCACTCACTCACCATCACTCACCACTCACTCACCACTCACTCACCACCCACCCACTCACTCACCACTCACTCACCACTCACTCACCACTCACCACTCACTCACCATCACTCACTCACCATCACTCACCACTCACTCACCACTCACTCACCACCCACCCACTCACTCACCACTCACTCACCACTCACCATCACTCACCACTCACTCACCACTCACCACTCACTCACTCACCACTCACTCACCACTCACTCACCATTCACTCACCACTCACGACTCACTCACCACTCACTCACCACTCACTCACCATCACTCACCACTCACTCACCACTCACCACTCACTCATCACTCACCATCACTCACCATCACTCACCACTCACCACTCACTCACTACTCACTCACCACTCACCATCCACTCACCATCACTCACTCACCATCACTCACCGTCACTCACCATCACTCACTCACCACTCACTCACCACTCACTCACCATCACTCACCACTCACTCACCACTCACTCACCATCACTCACCACTCATTCACCATCACTCACCATCACTTACCCTCACTCACCACTCACTCACCACTCACTCACTCACTCACCACTCACTCACCATCACTCACTCACTCCACTCACTCCACTCACCACTCACTCACCACTCACTCACCACTCACCATCACTCACCACTCACCATCCACTCACCACTCACTCACCACTCACCATCCACTCACCACTCACTCACTCACTCACCATCACTCACCACTCACTCACCATCACTCACCACTCACCATCACTCACCACTCACTCACTCACCACTCACCATCACTCACTCACCATCACTCACCATCACTCACCATCACTCACCACTCACTCACTCACCACTCACCATCACTCACTCACCATCACTCACTCACCATCACTCACCATCACTCACTCACCATCACTCACCATCACTCACTCACCATCACTCACCATCACTCACCACTCACTCACCACTCACCACTCACTCATCACTCACCATCACTCACCATCACTCACCACTCACTCACCACTCACTCACCACTCACCATCCACTCACCATCACTCATTCACCACTCACTCACCACTCACCACTCACTCACCATCACTCACCACTCACTCACCACTCACTCACCATCACTCACCACTCACTCACCACTCACTCACCATCACTCACCGTCACTCACCATCACTCACTCACCACTCACTCACCACTCACCATCACTCACCATCACTCACCACTCACTCACCATCACTCACCACTCACTCACCATCACTCACCATCACTCACCCTCACTCACTCACTCACCACTCACTCACCACTCACTCACCATCACTCACTCACTCCACTCACTCCACTCACTCACCACTCACTCACTCACCACTCACTCACCACTCACTCACCACTCACCATCACTCACTCACTCACCACTCACTCACCACTCACTCACCACTCACACACCACTCACCACTCACTCACCACTCACTCACCACTCACCATCACTCACTCGCCATCACTCACCACTCACTCACCATCACTCACCACTCACTCACCACTCACTCACCATCACTCACCACTCACTCACCACTCACTCACCATCACTCACCACCACTCACCATCACTCACCACCACTCACCATCACTCACCACCACTCACCATCACTCACCACCACTCACCATCACTCACTCACCATCACTCACTCACCATCACTCACCATCACTCACTCACCACTCACTCACCATCACTCACCATCCCTCACCATCACTCACCACTCACTCACCATCACTCACCACTCATTCACCACTCACTCACCACTCACTCACCATCACTCACCACTCACTCACCATCACTCACTCACCATCACTCACCACTCACTCACCACTCACTCACCACTCACTCACCATCACTCACCATCGCTCACCACCCACTCACCATCACTCACCATCACTCACCACTCACTCACCACTCACTCACCATCACTCACCACCCACTCACCATCACTCACCACTCACTCACCACTCACCACTCACTCACCATCACTCACTCACCATCACTCACCACTCACTCACCACTCACCATCACTCACCACCACTCACTCACCACTCACTCACCATCACTCACCATCGCTCACCACTCACTCACCACTCACCATCACTCACCATCACTCACCACTCACTCACCACTCACTCACCATCACTCACCACTCACCACTCACTCACCATCACTCACCACTCACTCACCACTCACCACTCACTCACTCACCATCACTCACCACTCACTCACCACTCACCATCACTCACCACCACTCACTCACCACTCACTCACCATCACTCACCATCACTCACCATCGCTCACCACTCACTCACCACTCACCATCACTCACCATCGCTCACCACTCACTCACCATCACTCACCACTCACCATCACTCACCATCCACTCACTCACCACTCACTCACCACTCACTCACCACTCACTCACCACTCACTCACACACCACTCACTCACCACTCACCATCACTCACCACCCACTCACTCACCACTCACTCACCACTCACTCACCATCACTCACTCACTCCACTCACTCCACTCACTCCACTCACTCACCACTCACTCACCACTCACTCACCACTCACCATCACTCACTCACTCACCATCACTCACCACTCACTCACCACTCACTCACCACTCACACACCACTCACTCACCACTCACTCACCACTCACCATCACTCACTCGCCATCACTCACCACTCACTCACCATCACTCACCACTCACTCACCACTCACTCACCATCACTCACCACTCACTCACCACTCACTCACCATCACTCACCACTCACCACTCACTCACCACTCACTCACCATCACTCACCACCACTCACCATCACTCACCACCACTCACCATCACTCACCACCACTCACCATCACTCACCACCACTCACCATCACTCACTCACCATCACTCACTCACCATCACTCACCATCACTCACTCACCACTCACTCACCATCACTCACCATCCCTCACCATCACTCACCACTCACTCACCATCACTCACCACTCATTCACCACTCACTCACCACTCACTCACCATCACTCACCACTCACTCACCATCACTCACTCACCATCACTCACCACTCACTCACCACTCACCATCACTCACCACCACTCACTCACCACTCACTCACCATCACTCACCATCGCTCACCACTCACTCACCATCACTCACCATCACTCACCACTCACTCACCACTCACTCACCATCACTCACCACTCACCACTCACTCACCATCACTCACCACTCACTCACCACTCACTCACCATCACTCACTCACCATCACTCACCACTCACTCACCACTCACCATCACTCACCACCACTCACTCACCACTCACTCACCATCACTCACCATCGCTCACCACTCACTCACCACTCACCATCACTCACCATCACTCACCACTCACTCACCATCACTCACCACTCACCACTCACTCACCATCACTCACCACTCACTCACCACTCACTCACCATCACTCACTCACCATCACTCACCACTCACTCACCACTCACCATCACTCACCACCACTCACTCACCATCACTCACCATCACTCACCATCGCTCACCACTCACTCACCACTCACCATCACTCACCATCGCTCACCACTCACTCACCATCACTCACCACTCACCATCACTCACCATCCACTCACTCACCACTCACTCACCACTCACTCACCACTCACTCACACACCACTCACTCACCACTCACCATCACTCACCACCCACTCACTCACCACTCACTCACCACTCACACACCACTCACCACTCACTCACTCACCACTCACTCACCACTCACTCACCACCCACTCACCACTCATTCACTCACCACCCACTCATCACTTACTCACCACCTCCTCAGTCTGATTTTTATAGTGGTATTTATGGTTTTTAATATGGTGGTTGTGATGGTTGTTGTGATGGTTGTTGATGTTCGTTGTGATGGATGTGGTGGTGGTTGTCGTGGTGATTGTGATGGTTGTTGTGGTGATTGTGATGGATGCATTGATGGTTGTTGATGTTGTGATGGTTGTGGCGGTGGTGGTGGTTGTGGCTGCCCCACAGATCAGCGTGCAGTGGCTGCCCACTGCCCACAAGTTCCAGCTGGCGCTGGGCACCGTGGGC